CTTTGCGGATTCTGATCAAGATACGATGGGTATGATCATGGTGTTCATCAAGGTTGTTCGAGAAGATGAGGATGTCGTCCATATAGATTACCAACCATCCTTCATTGATTTCTTGTTGAAACATGCGATTCATATAGGCTTGGAACGTAGCTGGAGAATTGCAAAGTCCAAAGAACATGACATTTGGTTCGTAGAGTCCGAATTCTGTGGTGAATGCAGCTTTCCATCGGTCATCAGCTTGAATATGGATATTGTTGTAACCAGAGCGAACATCCATCTTGGTGAAATACTTTGCTCCATGTAGCCATGCGACAAGGGATAAGGGAAGTGGTAGTGGATAAGCATTCTTGATCGTCCAATCATTGATGTATCGATAATCTTGACAGGGTCGAAGGTCTCCGCTCTTCTTTCCTACAAAGAAGAAACCGCTGGCTTGTGGCGATTTGGATTCCGAGATAAAACCTTTCTTTATGTTTTCATCAATAAATGCTTTGACGGCGGTTCGCTCAGCAATGGAGAGGGGATAAATTTTCGACGTCTTGGGAATGAATCCAGGTTTTGTTTCAATATGGTGGTCAATACCGGGTCGTTCAGGGGGTAGTTGGTTAAGACCGTCTTTAGCGAAGATGTCGGCGAAGTCGTGTAGATAGGAAGGTACAAGTTCTTCGAAAGTTTTCTTCTTTTGTTCTAAGCCCGCAGCTAGAGTGAATTGCTGGGCTTTGTTACTGACTTTCGCGTATTCTGTAGGCCGTGGCAGGGGTTTAACCGTGGGTTTCTGTTCTGAGTAACTAGTTCCATCGGGGGTCAAGGGTATATCCATATTGGTGTTCGTGATTACCCGGAGTTCCGATGCATCGGAGGAATATTCTACCAAGAATTTGTCATCATCTAGATCGTACATGGAGACTTCTCGCACTGGTGCGGCAAAGTGCTCTTGCGTCCAGATGTCTTCCTTAGTATCAAAGGTTTCGTCATCATCATCAGGGATGGGGAGTAGATCGGGGATGGGAAGGACGGGTGGTGCTTCTTCGTCAATGATTTCTTCGACAGTCGCTTTTGGATAAACGATGGGGGTTTCAATAACTGGTTCCGCTTTCTTAAGCTTAGATTGCTTCCAGGTTCGATTGATAGGTTCTTGTCGAAATAGAGGTGAAAGACCGTTCTTCTTTCTCTCTTTGTCGACTTCTTCTTCTACTTGGTCACTTTTCTCAGTGCGTGAGAGGATCAGTGTTTCTGCTGCCCAATCAATGATGGGGTTCATAGCGCGTAGCCAGGGAATTCCAAGAAGGATTTGGTCTCTTCTCCCGAGGCGTGTGACGTTAAATTTTCTGATCATGGATCATCCATCTATCTTGACGGTAAGAACACAATATCTGCATATAGCTCCGCTTTTGGAATAGCTTCCGTTGGTGGTAGTAACTTTGAAGGGTTTACTAAGGAGGTGGGTTTGAATTCAGTGTTGTTTGATGAAGTCTTTGGAAATAAAGGTTCCGGCTGCTCCGGAGTCAATGACTGCGGTTGTTTCAACAGTTTTCAGACGAGTTTTCGAGATGAGGGAAATTGGAATGCAAAGTTCCTTACGTTCTCCAACTTTTCGTACAAGCCTTATAGGTACATCGGAAGATACTGACGTTGATCCAGTCTCCCATATCAAAAATCCTCGTTAAGACGACAGACTTCTGCTTCTTCTTCTTCTTCTTCTTCTTCTTCTTCTTCATCATCATCATCATCGCTTCTACTTCTTTGTGACGTACTGGGGTCTTTCCTTTCTTTTTGTCAGGGCACTTGCGGGCGATGTGCCCGACCTGCCCACATGTGAAACACTTTCCTTTCCTGAAGTATTTGTTGCGTTCTTCTTCATTTAGGCAATCTACCTCCATAGTGTTTGGATCATGGTTCTGATTGAAGGATGGTTTCAGTATGTAGCGCTGTCTGGATGGTCTAGTGATGTTACAGCGGTTGTTGTGTATGGCTGCGCCTCATTGCCAGTTACTGTCTAGCTGGATGGCTGCGGTTACGTATTTGTCGAAAGAATCAGGGATGGTTTCCATCTGGCATATGGAGTTTACGAGTCCCCCTTTCAATCTGTCATTGAAGAACGTAATCAAGACTTGGGATTCCTTGATGCTGGCTAGCGATGCTAGTGTTTTAAATTAAGCGATATAGGTCGTCAAGTTGTTTCCTTGTTTCAAGGTTCTTAACTTGTTTATGGCAACTACCTTAGCATCAGCTGGACCAAATGCTTCTTTGAAGTTCTTCTCGAAGTCGGCGAAGGTTCCATACTTTGGGGTAGGATCGGAGTTGGCTTCTGCATAAAACATTGTAGCCCATCCTCCTGCGCTGCCTTCAGTCATATAAGCGAGCACGGTAACAACTTTCTTTTCATCAGAGTTGTAGATTGAAGTGTTAATGGTGAAGTATACTTTCACCAAATATGACCATCTGAGAGCCTGGTCAGGGCTTCCGTTGTAGTGCGTAGGTGCACCTGCTTTCAGTTCGGAAGAGGTAGTGGTCAACATCCTAAAGCTAGGGTTGGCTGTTAGGTTTCAGGGTGGTCGTTCTACTGGGAATTCGTCGGATGAAGTCAAGGATTGGTTATCTGGTTCTGTGGTTACAGGGGACAGTGTGCGTCTCTCTCTGTTATCGTCTATATTTGGACCGGCAGCCTCGTGATACTCTTCTGGGGAATTGGGTTCGTTAGGATCGCGTTCCCACCAATACTTTCTGACCCAAGTGGTCGTCTTTGCTAATCAGCAATCTGGGCCTCTCGTGGTGGAGAGGTTCGAAGGGTACTTTAATCTTTTGTTACGAACTAGGATAGTTCCGACAATAGCTACTCAATAAGAGTATTTGGCTAAGGTCAAGTCAAGGCTCTTGCATATGCAAGAGTTCGTAAGACAAGGCAAGGAGAGTGTCCTTGACTTGAATCAGATTCAGACGGCTTAAGATTGGAGGTCTCAAGTGAAGGAAGTTCCAGGTAAAACCTAGTAAGATTAAAGTGAAGAAATACAATGTACAGAACGGGTTTATATAGTGAACGGTAACGGCTTTAGGGCAGGTATCGGTGAGTCAGAATGAGTCATCTAGCGACGGCTTTGATAGTGATCGTGATGTAATACAATGAGTCAGAGATAAGACGATAAGAGATAAGTCTAGCGACAGCTTGATAGCGATCGTGACATAATACAATGTGAAGAGGAGAAAATGAATAGGGGCGTACTCAGACTGTAACACAGTGTAAAATGTATCAGCGCCTATATGAAGATGCTAGGGCTGCATTCAAAACTGTCAAGGCATATATTTGATTCAAAGTGCATTGCGATAGTTATGTTCTAGCATACTACAGTGTCATGCCAGAGTTGTACAATCCTTAGTAAATTACATCCTTTGCATTTATGTTGTTCATTCATGCCGCCCACTGAGATCTGCAATGTCAGCGATGATGGCAGCTCATATTCCCACTGAAATATATCATGTGCCAGGTGTCACACTGGCCTCTGATGTCTGATGTGTTCCTCCCATATTATAACTCATGAGTTGCCCATTATGGCTATTGGCATGTAGCAATATAAGTACACAAATGTAATCTAAGGCATAACCGGCACCATTCAATTTCCCTCCTGTTTCAAATATTTGATGAGGTGTTCTGTGGCACCGATTGCGGTACGCACATCTTGACCCAATGCAGTTTCCATTCTCAAAAGTGATGCGGCAACAAGCCTTGCCTTCACCACCTTATTCTCTAACAATGTGATTATGTGGTGCCTTCCTGCACCACTTCAGCCTGGATGGTGGCTAATTGGTGAGCCATCGGCGTTGACCCTTGGCTCATAGCAAGTATACCGACGAAAATTGGAGATTTTTCAATAATGGTGGGCTGATGCTCAAGCCTTTGCAATAGGAGACCCACGGCTGGAGAAAGACCTTGTCGCCGAGTCATAAGTCTCAACACAGTTTAATATTATATGACCATACCTCTCCCTCCCACATGAGGTACCTTGTAATAATGAACCGCTGTAGAGACTCGATCCTGAGTAGCCTCACAATGGCATATATTGCACTGTAGGTCGAGTCTACAATACTATGCATGCAACGCGACACTAGCGCGATAAACGCGACGTTCGCGCGACGCGCGCGACTTAGGCGACACTTCCGCGACATAGGCAACACTTGCGTGCGCTTTAGGCGAATTTTCCCGCGCCTAAGCGCTATAGGGCGCCTGACTTCCCACTGTGTTTTCCCATGTCCAACCAAGTTCCCAGGTATGCATTTCTCCATTTATCATTTATTTCAACATCGTACCATGTTTATTTTCACTTGGTACACATTTTTCATTACACATTTTTTACTTTACACAACACACATTACCACGGACCACCATCATCATAGACAGTCACCATCTCTGAGTTTTTATTATGTTTTGAATAAATCATCGCAAGCCCTAGTAGCAGTTAGCTCTAGTGGCCATATCCGCATCAGTTGTCTTATCAGCATCTCAGTGCACGTCTTAACATCTCACTATCGCTCACATACCGCTTTCTCCCAGTTCCGCTTTTCGACGCGCAACTTTCCCGCGCTTCGCACGCCTATAGCGCCTTTGTTCCCGCGCTTTCGCCTTATCACGCGCTTTGCGCATTCCCCCTAGAGTTGACCAGTGGATATTTGCTTTCTCCGCTTCCCCTAAGGGACGAACATATCGCACTCATATTTTCCTCCCTTCAACAATTATATCAGCTGCACCCTCAGCTGAGTTGAAGATCCTTCAACTGGAGCCCACCGCGAGGGGATCAGTTAGCATATCCACACACTGTCAACTCTATTCTACTCTACTCCATAATCCGCATATCCACTTCCCGCAATTTCGCCTCATTCGCATTTTCGCATTTCCGCCTATTCCGCCTTCTCGCATATCCGCTTATTCCGCCTTTCGCTATTCCGCCTAGTCCGCTTTTCCGCCTAAATCACGAAATTCGCGATTTACGCCTCTCCGCTTTCACACTATGAACACACCAGTAGATTCCTTTGGCATGCCTTTGCGCACCTCCAGCGCTGCTCCACGTTTTGGAGGTGACTACACTCAGCTGGTCAACTTCCTGGAGTCAGTAGAACGACTCGCGCAACCACTTGGGCTGTCAGATAAGGACATCATCAAGTATGCCTTGAAGTATACCGCGCCTAACGAGCAAGAGCTATTTCAGTACTATGAAGGTAACAACTATGAAGAGTTTGCTAATTCCGCCTTGTTTATGTACCCAGAATGCGGTACTCAGCGCTGCTACACGCGCCCTAGCGCGATTTCCGCTATTCCGCTTCCGCCCCTTGAAGCGCCCCATGAAGCGCCACTTGTAGGCGCGTCTCAGCAACCAGAACACGCCTTAGAACAACCAGTAGCTGCAGCTATAGCGCCAGTACACGAAACACACGAAACACTTCCCCTTCCGCCTACTCCAACATCGCCTATTGTTGAAATCGCCATTGCACCAGCCTACATCGAGGCGCCTATAATAGGCGAGCCTACAGAGCCCCAAAGCGACCCAGAAGATCAGTTGGACGAAGTTGATTTACCCCAGCAAGAAGTACATGCGCCTACCGCTATTGTGAACGCGCCAAACGCGCTACAAGACAAAATTGCGTCACCCATGGTCAGCAATGACCTCAAACATGCATCGCATTTTAGCGCGCCCATTCAGGAGTATTCTGCAGTGTCAGAGCTCCAAAACACGCCTTACATTGACCAGAGTTTGTCTCTGCTAAATCCACTTGTTACTGATGATACCGCGCATATCGCGTGTTCCACTTACAGTGACTATCACGCGCCAGTCAAGCATCCATGCATCGCATCACCCAACCACCATATAGATCATGTCTCAGGCGACCCTGACGCGCCTCCTGTGCACCCTATGGCGCCTGAGGTCGTGCATGTCACGCACTTTGAGGCATTGTATATTCAACCCTCGCATATTTCGCCTTTTTCGCTTATTTCGCGTTTTTCACTCTCATTGAGTTTTTCATCAGTTGCTAATGCTTCGCCTTTGCCTTCATTTAAGCTTACCATTATTCCCTCACTTAGGCGCCACAGTCGCGCGCCTCACGCCTTAATTCTCGCGCCTAAGGCGCCCATCATTACACCAAAGTTCTCCCTCCATCGCATTTTTACCACCTTATCACTTTTAAATCGCATTCCTCACATTCACCATGAACTATATTTCAATCAGCCATTCAGGCGCGACTTAGGCGCGCGCCTGACACATAAACATCCGCCTACATCACTTCATATCACCATTAACCTTGCATCACTTGTCCTTACTCGCATTTTTCGCATTTTCACCAATCGCGTCCATATCACCCTTTCATTTTATATCAAACACCATTCATTCATGATCAGGTGCCTATGTCGCCTTGATACATTGTCCATACTCATTATTCGCGCCTTATTCGCGCCTAATTTCGCTTCACATACATCCCTCACTAACGCGTTTTCAGAATATCATCCTATCCTCGTGCAAACAGAGGATATAATCATTTTCGCGCCTAAATGCGCTAATGCGCCAGCGTCGCCTATCGCCTATCATGCTGTAGTGCATCTCTACCACTGTCGCCTCGCCTCGCCTTGGTGCGCACCTAATAGGCGCCACCAAGTGCAAGAATTCATTCCTCCAGCTACTAGTCCGCCGCTATCGCGAGTTTGCAGAAGAATCAGTTCATACCCGGTTGAAGAAGTTGTTGCAGAGTCTTGAAGATGAAGATCACATCATTCCCTGTCGCCTCACGCGCCTTTGCCTCGCGCCTCATCCGCTTCAACCGCTTCAACAATCATTTTCGCTAAAATCACCATATACCGCGCTTTTCATAGGATATAGTTTGTTTTACCCTGGTTTTCGTCCAGCGCACTTTTCATTTTTCATTTCTCTCATCATAACATCGCCCAAAACACTAATAAAACACTGACATATATATATTCATAGATCCACTTAAAAGAAAACAACAAAAAACAACAAAACCACCATAGACTCGTGCCCACCTCACTCAGTAGGATATCATTTTCGCTTCTAACGCATGCCACGGCACCATGCACATTTGACCTTAGAATACTCCCCTATAGCGCCTCATTCGCGCGCTTATCGCCTTATTCCCGCGCCTCAAGCGCCTCGCGCGCGCGCTTTTCGCGCTTAGCGCATAGGAGGGTATAGATGTCAATAGTTGCACGAAGAAGACAAGACGGACAGGACATCCGCAAAGTTTATCATTTCATTTTCGCTTTTTTTTTGCTTATAGTTATACTCATGTCATTCATTCCCTTAGCACCTGTTTCATAGCGCGCCTAGTGGGACTTGGTTTGGACATGGGTTGGACCGCTTCCTCAACATGCAGTTTCGCCTTCTACGCCTTGGAGATCATTGGACATTCACCCCTTCACATTCCCTGCATAACACGACACCTACGCGACATCGCGACATACGCGCTATTACGCACATCCGCGCATCTCAGGCGCCTCAAGCGCGAATGTTCCCGCGCCTAAAGCGCCATAGTCACGCCCCACTCGCATCACCCACCATCCATTGTCATGAGTACTAGTTCGCATAATTACATCCTCTTGAAGTTGCACCATCGCTCGCATACTGCATTTGCGCACTTCCGCTTTTCAAGCGCGAATGTTCCCGCGCTTCGCGCGCCTATGTCGCCTTATTCACGCGCATAGACACATCAATCTCGCCTCACTGCAGTCATCTCCATATCATTCAGGCAGTTGTCACCATCATTTCCCTGCGCTTTTATTATGTTTGCATGCACCAGAGTCGCTTCACGCAATCCGCTACTATACCGCGCTTTCACGCCCCTATAGCGCCTTACGCCTCCGCTTTTCCCGCGCTTAGCGCGCCATTGCTACGCCAGTCTCGCCTCATCACATTCGCATCAGACACGCTCGCATCACACTCCTCTCTCATCACATACCCTCATCGCAACTTCGCTTGTCCACCACATGATGCACTGAGTGGGAACACTCAGAATTTAAGCCCCCAGGAGATGTAGAGACTCGATCCTGAGTAGCCTCACAATGGCATATATTGCACTGTAGGTCGAGTCTACAATACTATGCATGCAACGCGACACTAGCGCGATAAACGCGACATTCGCACGACGCGCGCGACATAGGCGACACTTTCGCGACATAGGCGACACTTGCGCGACTTGCGCGCGCTTTAGGCGAATTTTCCCGCGCCTAAGCGCTATAGGGCGCCTGACTTCCCACTGTGGTTTTCCCATGTCCAACCAAGTTCCCAGGTATGCATTTCTCCATTTATCATTTATTTCAACATCGTACCATGTTTATTTTCACTTGGTACACATTTTTCATTACACATTTTTTACTTTACACAACACACATTACCACGGACCACCATCATCATAGACAGTCACCATCTCCGAGTTTTTATTATGTTTTGAATAAATCATCGCAAGCCCTAGTAGCAGTTAGCTCTAGTGGCCATATCCGCATCAGTTGTCTTATCAGCATCTCAGTACACGTCTTAACATCTCACTATCGCTCGCATACCGCTTTCACCCAGTTCCGCTTTTCGACGCGCAACTTTCCCGCGCTTCGCGCGCCTATAGCGCCTTTGTTCCCGCGCTTTCGCCTTATCACGCGCTTTGTGCATTCCCCCTAGAGTTGACCAGTGGATATTTGCTTTCTCCGCTTCCCCTAAGGGACGAACATATCGCACTCATATTTTCCTCCCTTCAACAATTATATCAGCTGCACCCTCAGCTGAGTTGAAGATCCTTCACCGCACCTCCACCGATGTCACCAGCGTGCTGTCCTCCACTGCGATCTGTATGGCCAGCAATCGAGATGCGGTGAACTCAAATATATTTGACATGTCGGTGAGATCAAATTTGTTGTTTTCACCAGCGGAAGGTAGGCATTCCTTAAAATCAGGAATTTGAGACATGAAGAATAAGCTTAAGATGATGATGATATCGATTGTAATTTATGTTCCCTGATGGAATCGGCGTTTGAAGACGCCATAATTTATCTGGCACCTTTTATGGTGAACAAGACATGTAATACTTTCATTGGTGGTTTCCTGTTGCTGAATCAATTGATTATGATATTCACATATGCTGCAAGTAGTCTTCGGCGATGTTATTTTCATTAGACTGTATGTAACATTACGTATCTGATTGGCGCTGCTATCTATCAGCGACGCAATAAGTTTTGAAACAGTTTGTTGGTGTCAATATTGTGACCACAATTATGAGCACATGATATGCATCATCAATTCACTAGTGGTTGTGGAGGCCTTTTAAACAATGTCTTGTGTACATACAATTGTATACTGTGGGCTGCATCCCATTGTTTGCTAGCTGAATGGGAAAATCACTATGACATAATCAGCTGCTGAAGGTCCACGTCAGACTTATATTTATTACATTCATCACAATTCAGCGCCGCTCATCACACAACCTCCTACTATTCACAATGACTATGGAACAAGTCACCGCCAACGCAAATGCCACCTTCTGCAATGCAGGTGACAGGGTGGAGCACTTGCAAGGTCAAGCTTTGCAATTGGATAGAGCTGATCCTAAGCACATTGCCATTGAAATGGAGATGGTGCATGCTCTTGTAAGTCATGGTCTACATTTAAATTTTCATTCTAACATCTTTGTAGAGTCATGTTTTCTCTGTGTATGCACTGCAGACAACATCTGTGCTGCCCATGGTGCTCTCTGCTGCCTCTGAGTTGCAGGAGCACCTTGACGCTGGATTTTGCAATGTGATCAGCACCATCAGGAAATCGCCAAGGAGATGGTTTTCCTAGTTGTATTTGGTAAGAACAGATCAGAAATTCACAAGATTACATGCAAAGACAAGGGTAGATAAAGTGATATATAAGATAAACAAATTAAAATTCAAGGATAAAATATGACAAAAAAATTACAATTCAGATGAAAATAGGTCATGTCTTACAAGTGTACCAGCATTTCTTGACCAAATGGTCACCTATGGTAACCAGTGACCACCACTGCTTGAAGGCTAGAATATGCTCACTCAATCAACCTGATATCTGATGTACCCCTTTCATCTTAGAATTAACCTTCACAACAGCTACAAGATCTTTCAACGTGAAAATATGGTAAAAACTTCAGTGCTGCTCAACCATGGGAACTTTTGCTCATTGTTGTCAGGCGCCTGGCAACAGTGACCAGCACTCTTAAACACTTGCTGAACACGGTTTGGCCTCAGTATACTAAATATGGTAAAACTTCACTACAACTGTGGGAATTTTTTGCTCATTGTTGTCAGCACTCAGTAGCTCAATCATAACAGATGCTTATGTAAGTAAGTCATCTGAAAATTTCCATCAAGTTCAACTTCCTACCGCTACTTCCCTCTCAATGCTACCACACTATGATCTTTTCTACTTGCCCTCTCACTTTTTTTTGGCCCTCCCTTGTGGTCCTTCCCTGATGGTATCTCTCTGGCCCTCCTTGGTGTTCTGTCCTCCCTCCCTGGCTCTTCATCATGGTCCTTCCTTGGTTCCTCCTCATAGTCTTTCTGGAGTCCCTGGTCCACCAATGGTCCCTTCTTGGCCCTTTGTCGTGGATCCTCCCTGGTCCCTCCTCAATCCTGGCCCTTCCTCATGGTCCTGGTGTGGTCCTGGTCCTTCATCATGGTCATGGCTGCCCTCCCTTGTGGTCCCGGTTCTGTTTTGTGGATTTGGACCTGGACCTTACCTCCTCTCTTCTATCTCTCTTTTTCTCAAGTTATCTCCTTGTTGCTCCCCTTTGCTGTAGTATTACCTATGTACATTGTATACTTACCACTTGTTTAATTAAAATTTTGATTTTAACATTAAAAAAATGAGTGTACCAAGGTCAAGAAATTGTTGCTATTGTGCAGCCTAGTATTATCAAACTTTGTCATGGCTGATAGGTGATTACAACATTTGCCGCTTTGGTGATAAATGGCAAGTAATGGCAAGCAGTCTGTCATAATTGTGCTTGTGGCAGTTTCCATCCAACTTTCTCCAGCTAAATAAAGCTTTCTCTAGTGAACTACCATTTTGATGGATATTATACAAATTTAAGCCAGGTAAAGCTTTATAATACTTTGTCATTTCCCAGTCAATTCCCTGATGACACCGGTCTGGTCCAAGATCTGTCCAGATGATCCCTGGAGCCAAAGGAGCCCCTTGTATCCTCTTAGCATTGGGTATGAGCAACTGCTGCCGCCACCCTCGCCGCCTGTTGCTGGCCCCTCCCAGCTCAATGGCACTCTCCCCCAGGCACCTGCTGTTGTTGTCAGGAAGGGCAAAGGTAAAGAAAAAGCCCCCCCTGAAGGTGAGACTACTAAACAGCATGGACGTGGGATCAAACGAGGCAAATGACCTCGTCCACGAGCCATGAGTGTGAGTACTGCGCCAAAGTCCAAGCAGCAGCATGCATCTTCCAAGGCGATGGTAACAAGTAAGGATGAACGGGAGTTGGACAATGAGTCAATTCTGGCTCAGACACTAGCAACAAAAAAGAAAGTAAGTCACTCATTTGCTTGTTTTCTATTCCTTTGCTAACAAATGATAGCTATCACTGCCAACAAGGCTTCCCACTGCACTGAAGGGTTTGTGCCCATGCCGCAAGTCATTGGCAAGGTTGGTCATCACAAGTGATGATGAGAGAGAAGGGGCAACACCAAACCCTGTTCTCAAGACAGTGGTGTCATCTTCATATGTGGAGATTGACAACATGGATGAGACGCCAATCACCGTTGGGCCTGCACCGAAGATGGGGACCCCATGTGGATATCCTGGTATGTGGCTTCCTCTTTACATTGCAATTTCTAATGTTCTCCAGCCTGCACCCAAGCCCTCCAAGGCTGTCCCAGAGATGTCCAGCACCATTGCCAGTGTCCTCACTGAGGATGATCACGCCGACACAACCTTGCTGGTATGGCTCCCAGGCTGTAGGTCTTGCATGCAGAGGCAGCTGGTATGCCACCAAGCCTACAATACCGCTGGTGTGGAGTTGGCCGTGTGTGCGCGATTCCACTGGTCAAAACATAAGTGTGGAGGCAAGGGTTCTGCTCCACCCAACAGAGGCAAGAAGTCAACGGCAGCTGTGACTCACCACACTCATTCAAGATCTTGCTGTCAATCACCAGTGTATGTCACTGAGACTGCAGGTAAGCCCTTCTCTATTTCTAACATTCAACTGATATACCAACACTTCATCAGTAGCATCCACCTCTGGTGCACCTGCAGGTGGGGTCGCCAAGATGTCCAACACCTCCATCACTGCCACCCCCACTGCCGCCATCACCTCTGCTCCCACCGCCAGTGCTCCTGCCACTCCTGTTGTCCCCACTGCTGCCACCACCACCACCACCACCACCACTGCTGCCGCCAATGTTGCCACCCCTGCCACCGCTACCACCCCCTCATCTCCCACTTCCCACACAGACAAGGCATCTGTTCTTGCCCTCAGGGAGGACATTACCCTGTTGCAAGCAACAGTTACTTCCTTGGAGGAGAAGGTGAGTGCTGGGGAGCAGCTTCTCCCGGAAGCCAATAGGAGAATGGCAAAGCAGGAGGCTAGTTTCACATTGCTTGCCGAGCAATTGGCGGCACCTCGCCAGGAGTTGTGTTCCCCCAAACTCACATCACCTGTTTCACTGTGTTTGCCTGTGATGATGAACCCTGTCTTAGCTGACTTATCCTCTTGCAACAGCATGATTATTGCTGAGACAGAGGTCCCTGCCCGGTCAGTGTCCTGCAATGGTGGCATTGTTGTAGAGACAGAGGACCATGTTGCATTGGTGGCTGAGGAAGTATACCCTGATATGTCAATTTCTGAGGATGAATGCCTCCTACATCGGCACCTCATGAAGAATGCCCTGCTATGTGAGTGCCCTGCTGTGTCGGCATCTTGCAACACCAGGATTGTTGCAGATGAAGATGCTGAAGTTGAGTCAGTGTCTGTTGGATCAGCCACAAAGGAGTGATATGGATTTGAATACTTGTCTTCTTTCTCACTTTAGTTGCAATCTCATAGAGTACTTGTTTAAGCATGTGTATATACAGGTATATCTACATCTTGATATGGTATTTACTTTGTACATATCATTGCGGTTTGTTTACAATCATGGAATTGAGTGTGCCGGTGACATGCAGTCTGGTGCCGGTAACATATTTACTTATGTACATATCACTGCTGTTTGTTTATATAATAATGGAATCAATTGCGCCAGTGACATGTAGTCTGGTGCCTGCTGAGATGGCATGTGGCACTGGTAAGTTTTGCTTCCTCCATGATTCAATGGTAGGATGCTTGATAGTGCCATTTGAATTACTGTTCGCCAGTGAGATGGATTCTTGCACCGGTGCTTAGCAGAGTTGTTCACAGGCGAGATGAATGCTCAAACTTCAATTCTTTGCCAGCATATTTTAATGGGTGAAATAGATCTTGCAATAGGGAGAATAACATGTACTGGCGATACTGTCAGTTTTCTATTCAATGTTGTCTGTATCTGCCTGTCCCGGCGATGTCAGCCAATCACCTGTCAGCATGTATGCTATTGCAATCTGCCAATCATAGTAATTACATCACATGTCAGTGAGGTTACCGTTGGCCATATCTAGACATGCATGCTGCATCGAATTGGATGATCAGTCACGCCTTGCACATGAAATGCTGACTGTCTGCACCATGCAGCCAGGATGGCAGGTGTTACCAACAATCAGAGTTGCATTCACCACAGTTAAATATATTTGTACCACATGGGCCCATACATTTGTCTACATTACATGACTGGAGCCCAACTAGCAATTGAACTGTCCATGCTTGGGCCCACCCCCTCTATTGATATGCCAGGACATGGGCCTGTCTGACCCTCAGAATAACATTGTAATTTAGGGCCTATCCATCTCTAGGCATGGCTGACATTGGGCCCACCATATATATAATTCAGTTCACACCTGTGGGCCTACCCCTATGGCACAATGTGCACACTGTAGGCCCACCTGAATCTTAGAAAGGGCAACCGTGGGCCCATCCCGGCAGTGTAATACAGGATAGGGGCCTACCCGTCCTGCAGAGTATTTGCTCAGGGATCCTATCCCATTTTAAGAATGGCAATGAGCAGGCCTGCACATGGCATGTGGGCCCATCCTCTGCAAATGTCAGATAGTGTCCCCCCGCCCCCCTTCGAATCAAGTATGGTATGCAAATGGCGCCGATGCAAATTCAATCATCAATGGTCAATCCCTAGATGCATCCATTTCTGAGGAGACACTCACCGATGCTAATGCACTACTGTGTACAATTGTACCCTGTGGTTCCCTGAGCTTTCAACCTATCCAATTTCCCAGAATACACCTGCTGATGCTAATGGACCATCACTGGCAATCATTCCTGAAATCTATTCGACGACTTGATTTCCTGGAATACACTTGCCAATGGTAATTGATCATTGTCAGCAATTATCCCTGATATCCATTTGGGGGTCCAATATCACTGCTAATCATTCCTAATATCCATTTGCTGGCCCCATGCCCTGGCATAAACTCATCAATGCTAATGGATCACCGCCAGAAATTATCCCTGGTATCCATTTTTGGGGCTCATTTCCTAGCTCGCTGATGCCAATGGACCATCACTACCAATCATCTGTCATATCCATTCGCCAACCCCATTTCCCAGCATACACTCGCCAGTGCTCATGCATCATGGGCCCACTCGATACTGGTGAGGTATTACTACTATAGGCCCACCCTTCAATACTCTTCACTATCAATCCTGACACTCATGGGCCCACTCCAAAACATAGAGGCCAATCCACTATGGGCCCAGCCCTAACTGTTGGGAACATAGCATTCGCCAGCCCACCCTGGAACATAGGATGACAATATAGTGTGGGCCCATGGTGGGTTGGCCTGACTCTCATGGAAGAATGTCAAGGTGGGCTGGCCCTCTCTATAGGGTCAAGTCACTGAAGGGGCTCAAAACGCCTGTGCACTACACAAGATTTAAATTGTGAATTTGTTGCACAAGGTATAGGGTCATATCTTTTGGTTTGTTCCTTATGCTCATATGATCATCCCATTTCCTGTAGGACGTATATGGTGGTTCCGCTTTTATATGGGGCCTTCATGGAAATGGCTCATCGGCTTTGGTCTCTCACCACCTAGTCTTCCAGCTTGTCCAAAACCTTCACTTCTGTTAGAAACTTTTACAAGGGAAGAGGAACCTGGCTGTAAAACACCGCATAAAGGGCTGTACTGTGTGGACTGTGGAACAAATTTCATGGAAACACTTGTGCCGGATGAGTAAGTTTAAATCTCTGACACATTCAAAGCTGAGGTGCTGATGGATTTATTATTCCTATGCATATTCCCTGTTCCCCTGTTGGCTATGCAGACCTGAGAGTCAATACAATGGCAATGTAGATGGTGAAGCTCTCATCTCCAGGAGATGGCCATTGGGCGATTGGGTGACATATGAGTAAGTCTTTCACTTCCTTGGCTCGATCCTTGTCTTGGAATGGTGACTGTAGCGAGTGACATATCTTGCCACTTTTCTCCTTTGACAAATTCAACTGACTGTGTTGTTGTAGCAATCCTGCATATGTAGATTGCGATGGGACCCTACACGCAAAGCTGGAGATGACACTCAAAAAGCTTTAGTTCGTTACGACATTTATTCATGACAGACGATTGACTGGGATACATATTACTATTAGCAGTCAGGATGTACTATTCAATGATGCATTTGGGACTCACAATATGAATTTTACACCAATCCACACATCAATACCGTCACTTTGTGAGTGCGTAAGTTTGAAAGCATTTGATATGACAGAATAGTTTAGGCTACTATGGGCCTTCTGATATTCTGAATGAAGCTTTTCTTCAATCTTGGCAAGGTAGTCTTTGTGAAGGTGGCCTCTTCAAGACCATCTCCAATGCAGGGCACTGGATATTTAACTTCGAGTAATGTTGGTTCATCACATCATTCTCCAGGATGGCTGCTACTGCAGTTTTCGGCGGAAGTGACATAGCGCCTGCATGTTCACAACACGCTCATGGAAAAGTATGTTTTGTCTAAGCTGTGATTTGCTGCTCCGCTAGTTCTCTATTCAAATGTGATTCATTTTTTATTTTTTATTTTTTTTTGAATTCTTGTTTATTGTCCGTTGGGGCAAGGCCCTATAGTAGACAATACATACAGTATTTACGTCTGGTGCAGTGGTCTATATGGTATCTTCAAGAGACTATGCTATTGGTCCCGGTGTCTTTTTTTTTTTTTGCTTCAGATTGAGTCCTTTGGGGTCATAGACCCTATGTTGGACATTTCTCGTCATAAGCTTCTTTCTCATGTTTGGGGTTCGGTGGACTTCCAAGTGTCATGCTAACTTGTACTCTGCCACTGAGGTGGACAGGCACGAAAGGATAGCTGCGGGGAGAAGATTTGTTAGTAGAGGTGAGGGTGTTAGTTGATGATTTTGTTTTGTTTTCTGGTCTTTTTTCATTGCAGGTCATTTGGTTGCTGGGTGTGGTCCTCTAGTAGCGTGTCTTCTCTTCATCTCAACAGTGACATTGTTGCGAGGAATGTCGGTCCTTTTGTGTGCGAGTATTGGTGAGTGTGTTGTTACATATATTACAGTTCGCCGAACATGGGTTTGAAGCGTCCGGTGCTATTGACATATCAGAGGAGGTGTGGTGTAGCTTTTTCGGATGAGAGGATGTGGGCTATGGACAGGGCATCTCGGTGCATAGCATTAGCAAAGATGTGTCTCTCCCTTCGGTACTGGGGACATTCGAAGATGAAATGATGGATGGTCTCGTTCGTTCCTGGGCATATCGGGCAGTGAGGAGAGTCGGATTTGTTGGGTCCCGGTGTCTTGTTACTTAAGGGTCTTATATACGACGTGTATATAGTGACAACACAACTATACAGGATATGACTTCTTGCCAGTCCTTAAGTACACAGTCTATGACTTTTCTAGTTTTTGTGGTAGATAATGTGCTGAGTTCTTGGGAGGAATGTCTTTCAATATTCTCCTTCTTGTTCCTCGGTTAGTTTAAACCTCATGGTCTTGAAATACTGAGTGTGAAGTTTGTACGTGTTTTGGCAAGTGTGTGCCCATGGATTCATGAAGTGTGTCTCGTGATTCATTGACACGCACGAAACCTGTTTCGTACATGGTCATGGTAAATTCACATGCTAGTCCTTACTATAGCCTATGCACTTCCCCTGAATTTTCTATACCTTACTTCAATTTACTTTAGACATTTCTAAGCATGTATCATCAAGATACGACTTAGTGGTTCAAACTAAATACTTAATGTACCCTTTATCCTTTCTATAATTCTTTATTTTATTTACCCCTATGCCAAACATATGTACACACACATTCTATGCACACTTTATTTACATCTATGTACTCAAGGCAGTGGTGCCAACCAAACCAAGTTGAACTAGTTGGAATGGATTGGTAATCAATGCACAGCAATAAGGCAGTGCTAGAAGGACCTGGAACACAGCCTTTGCTGAGTAATCTAGAACATTCTATGAGTATCTTACTAATCATTCCATAACATTCCATGACATTCTATGACAGTCTATAAGAGTCTATTGCTCTTTCTCAAACATTCTGGAATATTCTATAGTACATTAGTAATCAGTAGCACAGCCACTAGTCTAGTAGTATATAAGGGGCTCATTTTCCCCTCTTGTAAAGAAATAAATTTCATTCCCAAGTATTATCAGAGTGAGACAAAGTTTATAGGGGAACACAGGGGAACATTCTTTCACCCCTGAGATTCTTAGCCCCTACTATTGAGTGAACATTCAAGTGATTATTAGGAGAAAATATTAGTTTATTTGCTCCACACCTTTGACATTATTCTTCATACATTCTTCAGAAGTATTTGGCCACATTCTTGAGCCATCTGTTAAGACCGTACTCAAGTAGTATCGGATCCGAAGGGCTTGGCCTCAGCTCGTGCGCTGTGCCCCTTACCCGAGTACGTGCCCTTAATTTCAGAATGAAGTCCGGATGGAATCCAATGAAGTCCGAAGGACTTCTGGAGGCTGGCTACTCTGGTGGAGTGCTGAAGGACTTCCCATGGTAAGTTCCCTAGATAGAAACATATAGAGGAAAGGCTGCAAGGGACAGAGTCCAAAGCAGGATAGGATAGGAGGAGTGGTCCGAAGGACAGGATGTCTGGAGGTCCATAGGTAATGGCGTCCGAAGGTTACGACATCCGAAGGTTACAATGTCCAAAGGTTATGACGTCCAAAGGTTACGACGTCCAAAGGTTACGACGTCCAAAGGTCTGAAGGTTTAGGAGGACTGGAGGAGCGGACAGGATTAGGACAGGAGGGGAAAGGCTACTATGGACAAGTGTTAAGACCGTACTCAAGTAGTATCGGATCCGAAGGGCTTCGGCCTCAGCTCGTGCGCTGTGCCCCTTTCCCAAGTCTTGCCCCTTATTTCAGAGAGCTAAAGTATCGCGTGTATAGAGTAACGGCCAATCCAGATCGGATCCGGACTAGAAACTAACGGGTGAGGACTGTCCAAAGACAGAGGCGGATATGTAGACTATAGGAATCTATCCTAAGTCTCGGAGTAGACAAGAGTAGCGTACTCAAGTCCGGATGGATAACGGAGGGACTCAGAGTCCAGACGGAATGAGTGCAATCTAAGATGATATTCGAACTGATCTACTACAGCGCATATACAAAGGTTTATATACTACGGATAGCTAACGGAATGATCAATAAGCAAAGGTGCGAGGCTATGTACGAAAGTATAAGCAAAGTCTAAGTGGAGCATATTGGTAAGTTGGATGGATCACGAATCATGAACCGGGAATGAAGTACAAGTAAAAGCGGATTCGTAAGTGTAGCGGATCAGTAAGCATAGCGGATCAGTAAGCAAAGCGGAAGTAAAGGATAACCGGTATACCGGTGTACAGGAATACCGAAAGGAGATGAACGATAGTTAGAGTTATATGAACAGGAAATGAAATAAGAATCAAAGCGGATCTGTGGACCGGACGATGGATATGTTCATCGGATCTGGATCGGATCTGAGATCCAGATCATCGGATCTGTAACCGGATATATGGTATATGACAACAAGGTCCAGAGTAGAAACAAACAGAGGTAGACTACACTATGGTAGAGTCGGATAGACAGGGTTTAGACAGAAGTCTCGGAAAGGCAGGAAGTGCCAGAAAGGCAAAACTTCGGTCTAGGGAATCAATCCCTAGACTTCAGAACAGAGACATAGGGGACAAATCCAAAGGTCTGGATTTACGGCCTAGGGAATCCATCCCTAGGCCTTGATGGAAAGGCAGAACTCAGATGGATCAAAGTCCGAGACAAGAATGAGTGAAGTCTAAGATGCAAGAGAGCAAGTCTATGTTGATATTCGAACTGAGGAAACTTTACAGGAGTTGTACAGAGGTTTATATACTGGACGGGATCCGAGAGGATCAATAAGCTGAACACAAATGCTATGTACGAGCATGTGGAAACATATTAGTAGTATGAACGGAACATAAGTAAATGAACTCGGATATGAACAGAGTACAAGGATCAATAAGCAAGACAGAAACAGAGATAACCAAAGTCCAGAGTCAAGGGGATTACCATAAGGAGATAGACACTGATTTAAGGTTTGGGCCTCGGATATGAGTATAGGTTGGATCCGGAGGTCTAGAGATATCAGATGAAGTGTCTGGATATCGGATGAGCGGATCCGGAGATCTAGGTGAAGACGAGACTAGGATATGGATCATGGATATAGATCGATAGTCTAGGGAAGGTAGAGTCCGAGATGGAATGAGCTCGGATCCGATAGGACCAAGGGTGGATGAAGCAGGCTTAGCTGCGGAGGTCCGAAGGTATTGATATATGGATGTACAAAGGTGTACGGATCCAAACCGATAGTGGACTGGAGGACTGAAGGCATGGATAAGGGTATGGAGTCATGGATAAGGGTATGGAGGTCCGGATGTGCATCCGGAAGGCGTCCGGAAGGCGTGGGAACATCATCGGACGAAGGTCCGGAATACGGGATATGACACCATCTTTGATTACACAATCATCCTTTATTCTAGTTCTCTTTTATACACAGGAAAAGTTCTGTGGGGAGAATTATATGTATTATTCATCAATTAGGGTAGACACAAATAAGACCTACAATCTGTCAACGAATATTAAGAGCTTGGCCACTTAAGACTACATCAAGAAGGTGTACTCTATTCTGGACTGCGTCATTACTCATTGTGAGATCCTGAGCAGCAGAGAGTTGGTTTCGAGGCCATGTATTGGGACGATCCCGCTAGTGAATTTGTTCTCCATTGCTGAGTATAAGTAAGAGATATCCAAGAGGGATATATATTAAAGTTCAAGCTCATTGCATACAGCTGCAACATATTATTCTGAAGTTTATAGCACTACCTTGTGCTACTATTGTTTCTATCATTCTTTGCCTCTTTTACATCACTAGCATTCGCTTGAAAAGTTCAACACATCTCATCCTCCACGAACGACCACGTTATCAACCGTTGGTAATTGTCTGAACCATTGACCGTGGAGGATAGTGAAATTTGGAGAGTTTTCTTGCCTTTCACATCCTAGTAAGACATCATGTCTCCCTTCCTGAAAAAGAGAGAGGAAAGTAGTGCTGATGAACTTTAGCTAGGTAGCTGTACTTTGTTATATAGTCAACCCCTGTAAGGTAGTATATAACCTGAATATATGTTTCTTATTCTTAACTTCAAGGCTGCTGAATGGCCTGCACTTAGATCTTACTGGTTCTCACACATTTTGAGAAAAGAGTTAAAGTGGGAAGCTTAAATTGCATGGGTGAAAATGGGCTCCTTATATACCTTGGGAGGCCATCTTACTAAGCATGATTCATCACATAGATTGGTAAGAATGTGCTTACAAACTTGTGTTGAGTCAGCTTGTTTACTAATGTACATACAAAATGAAGTGTAGTATTACAAAGAATGAAAAATGAAAAGCATGAGTCATCACATGGATTGGTAAGAATGTGCTTACAAACCAAGTCCTTAGGTGTGCTAAATCAGCTTTATGACAAAGTGGATTACAAATCCAGTTGCAAGTTTTACAAAGCATGACGAATCATGACCAAACATGATGAGTCAAGTTGAATCCTTACAAATCAGAGTATTTCCCAGTCACATGACATGATTACTAACATGTTTGGTGGCTTGAGGAAAAGTCTGGTGGCTAAATGTGCCTAGAAAAATAGAAATACATAGAAAAAATAGGAGTGAAGTTTGAAAGTGAAAATACTAGCTAAGAAATGAATGAAAAATGATAAGGTAACTTGGTGATAGGAATCAGTCAGGTGTCTTCTACCTTCCCTGTCACTGCTGTTGTGTATATGTCATGGTATGGATCACATACCATGCATGACACCAGCCTAGGCGAGGACGATGGCACTGTCTGAAGGCATTTGGAGAGAAGTTGTGGGGGCTTCTATTTCTTCTGTGGCATGAACTAGCTGTTTTCTTTTGGCGGTGGGGGAGTGACGTCGCCAAACGTTTGTTCGAGTCTTCTCGTGCATGCGATGAATCAGAGGAGGGGTCTAGTGTTGTCGCAATTGTTTAGGAGTTGTTGGAGTTGGTTTGCATGTGGGCCGACTTCTGCTCGTAGTGCTGTTCTTTGGTGAAAGTATGACGGACATTCGAGGAGGAAGTGTTTGAGTGATTCTTGGTGAGCATTGCATTGTGCACAGCAAGCTGAGGTTGACTTGGATATGCGAAAAAGGTGCTTGTTCAGCGGAATGTGGCCTGTATGAAGTTGGAACAGGAGAGAACTGTGGTGGCGAGGGAGGGGGTCTATCATGCTGGTGAATGTTTCGAAGGAGCTGTTGGATCTATTGCGTGGAGTCTTTGGTAACACAGTGCTTGGCGTGTGACAAGCTTTGCTTCCTTCTTGATGGCTTGTTGGAATTGTTGTTTCACTGTGGTTTTGCTGATTGGGAGAGTGATGGGGGTGCCAGTGCGTGTTCTTAAAGATGTGGGGAGGGAGTTGTCCACTGATGTTTCTCCTCTGGCTGCTCTCTTGGCTAGTACGTCTGCTTGTTCATTGCCTTCTGCTCCTAGGTGACCTGGTACCCATCTGATGGTGAATTTTCTTACATTGTTTAGGGGGAGTAATTCTCTGAGGTCATCGTGGAATTTGTTGATTAGATAGTGGCCTGGCTTGGAGCTGGAGGCGTTCGTCGCTTTGATGGTCGCTTGGTTGTCCACTCCTAGTGCCATTGAGCCTCTTCCCCCTGCTGCTTTCAACAACTCTACCGCCAGGATCATTCCTATCGCCTCAGCTTCATACACCATGTGGTCCTTTGCACTTCCCATGTGGAAGTGTCTTTCGTCTATTCTTTCGTCTCCTCTCATCAGTACCGCTGCTCCGCCTACTCCTCCATCCACTGCCGATCCGTCTGAGTATACCCTTAGGTCCTCTTTTGCTTCGTCTTCTTTCAGTGCGTCTTCCTTGGAGTCTGCTATGCTGACACTAGTGTCCGGTTCCCACTTGGGAAAGTGTCGTACTGGTAGGAGTTTCTCCACGTTGCTTGGTTCGATCTTGAATTCGTTGAAGAGTTTGTGTAGCGGTGAGGGGTGTCTCTTTTTCCCTTGAAAGTTCCTTTTGCTGCAGTAGTTGAAGACCGCGTTGATGTCTTTCGTTAAAGGGTGCGTGTTCGGGAAGGTTGACATGCGAAGTGTGGCGTGGTGGCACGCCTTCCTTATGATCTGCTGTAGGGGAAGAACATTTGGGTGAGAGTCGAGCATTATGGTTGCGGAAGAACGGAGGCCCCCTGTCATGGCCAGTGTCGCCATGCGTTGAACTCGTGCCATCTTTGAGGCGAAGCCTCGTGGTGTGATTCATAATTACGCTGGGGAAGAGATTGTCTCATTTCGCTGCTCGGTCTCGGAATGTCACTGTGTTGCAGAGCGACCACCCTACATATTAGAACGCGATCACCTACAGTTCTGGGATAAATCACTTTCCCGGCCTCGTACTCGTCCGCGCAATGAAAGGAAGCCAGCGAACTTATTTATTTCACATACACGAAGGACATGTAAAAAGTCGGTGCCGATCTATCTATACAAGCTCGTTGAGACACTGCAAGAATCAAATGGAATGGTCTACCAATTCACGAGCCAGTCAAACAGTGACGGATTCAGAGGGAAGTTGTGCTTTTCCTGTCAATGCAGCTAGACTATGCACGAGTTGATCAACCTGCGTGACAAGTGCACTAAGGCGGAGATCCTGTTCCATGAAGCGAGATTCTACCATTGCAGCTAGCTTGTCGACTCGTAAGGAAAGCGAGGTAGTCTCGTCCACGTTATCCAAAGGTTCGTCTGATGTTGTGATGTCCACATCTCGAACCCGGTCTTTAATCTTGACCAGCCAGTGTTTGTAAGGATGGTGCTCTGTGACCACGTTGAACACATCGCGGAATGCACAATCACTGCATAGGGCAATCGCGGAATGGAGTTCTGTGATAATTGCTCAGCTTTGTGCCCCGTTAGACATACGGAAGCCTGACCTGCGCAGGTAAGGCATACATAGAAAATGCTCTTCATCTTAATGCCACATTCGGCACAAGCATAGGCATCCCCATTCGCGACTGAGGTTCCAGTTATCTCCCCTGATGCTACTCCCGGGTTCCTATTTAACTTCTCATCACCTTCCCGTAAATCGACAGAGGCGGCAGAATCATCTGCTCGGATGGCTTCTGTCGGATGCGGAAGTTCAGGTCCATCTGATTGCGTTTTGGATTCGTCTTCTCGCGCAGTCAATGGTGCTTCTGGTGGTGCTGCAGCGGGCACGCAAGTGGATAAGAAATTCCTGGCATACCACCGGACTCGGCTGTAGCGACCATGAGGTAGCGACATCCGGAAAACAAGCATGTTATGCGTTGACTTGTGGTCGGATGGGTATTTGTGATCCGAGACCGGCTGAGATTCGCAATCTACACACACATCATAGTCGTCTGTAAGAAGATTAGTCGTCTTGCACGGAAGGGTTGTCTCCATCATGCTCACTGGACTCGCAGTCTATACAACGGTGAAGGACATCACTGACAAGGTAATGACACGCATCACACTGACACCTGAACAACGGAAAGGCAGATGTTTGAAGAATGATAAATAGACAGAAGATGGACTCACTCGAACAATCGTCTACGCATCTGGAGTTCAGCCAATGAATTCCAACGCTCGACGTCTGGGGGTGGTAGCTCTTGGGACAGGAGATTAAACCTTTCTTTGTCGGCCAATGATAGGTAAGGTGGGATATCGTGAGGGTAAAAGTTCCGCATATACTGCAGGTCATTCATGCACCGCAAACGGATATATTCTTGCATAGGGTCTTCAGGCTGCTGATCGGGATTGAGTGCGATGAACTTGACAGGTCTTCCTACTGCTCCATTGTCCTCTGCCAGACTGAAAGGACCGAGCTTCAGTGCTGTTGAATCGATCTCCAGCTTAGCGTCATCAAGCCCAAAATCGTGAGTTTCCCAGTATTCTGTGTCGTCTGTGGTTAATTCTGGACTGTACCAAAAGTTGTACTATTACGAGGTATTAGACCGGGAATCGATGTAAAGTTGCTGTCTCCACGTACCAAGCCATGGGCATACCACGCGAATCTCGCTTTTGGATCATTACCCTGCTGACGAAATGACTCTGCAATGGTGGAAGGAGATAGCTTATCATGACATAGCTTAGAAACGCACCTGCCAGTTGGTCCACGCGCAAAGACACCCCTTCTAAGATATTTTCTATCGTTAGAGTTGCAGACTCGAGTTCTCTCTCGACCAGAGTCACTGTGCTAGCGAGTTTCATGATCTGTAAATGCCTCCTGATTACGAGGTAAAGTAGGGGTAGCAAGAACTGAACAAGCGCGGTGACACATGTGAGCATTCAGCGCAAGCGCTAAGTTAACCCACATTTTCGATGCGACCAGACCCGAAAAGTTTAATAGAATCTTTGGAGTCGATTTCATACTTGACGATATTGAGCTTATCTGCCAATGTCTCCTCCTGAGCCTTGCGACGCTGAGTAGTCAGTTGCGCGAGATCCAAATCCGAATCTTCTGATCCAAGTTCTGCAATAGAACGGATGAGCCTTTTGATACCTGTCTGCTGTGTAAATGCCTTCGCTAAAAGGTGGGCAGAGCAACGCACCATCGATGACATATGAGTTCAAGTATGTAGCGACACACCTCCTGTTTTCTGGAAGTACATCCGCTTGCGCATAAACCATGCTGTTCAAGACCTGTTCAATTCGTGCATGATAGTGTTGACTATCCACTCTCCAGCCTTCACCGACATAAGCACTGGCTCGACCTGATGATAACAATCCTTACCTGCAGCCCAGTATGCAAGTGCTTTTGGCAGAGTCCAACCCACAGGGATTGTGGACGTAAAAGTATTCACCTCCCTTACACTGACCAAGCCATTCGCATCGTCATCGAAGCCTTCGGATAAACTTGGAACATAGAAAATGGACAAATATTTCAAGCACCATTTGTCTGCAGGGTCGACAGTAGGAAGTTTGTGGTACGCAGAATCGATTGCTTGAAGCTCGCGGTCCTCTCCTTCTGAATCGGACATGACAGAGACAGTGGGAGTTGGAGATGAGACTCGCGGTACCAAAGACGAAGCATCCGACGCTTCTTCTAGGAGCGGAGCGCCATGACGGAGGTGGGAGAAACGGTTCACGTAATAATCATGGAGTTCTGCAATGAAGTATTGCGTCTTGACACTTGTTGTCCATTTCTTGGTGATAATAAGTATGCACTTCAGTCACACCTGCACAGAGACATACCATCTCTTTCCAGATATATCGGAGGTGCTGGTGAAAATTAAATTGACCAAGTTAGTGACACATAAGGTTGGGTTTCATAATCCTTACTGGATCCCTGACCCGTCGAAATCTGCTGTTGAAGGCCCACATGATACGCGTTTCAGAATCCTTGATGGCATCTTTGATGTCGGATGTCTGTGTATCAAGCTTGAACATGAAGAGTGCACGATTCTCGTCAAGTAAGTTGCGTAACGGAGCACGTAGTTCGTAAAGCAGCGATGCATCAAGGCGGTCGGCCTTCGAAGTAGGCTTGTTGACATCTTTGGTAGGAGCATCAGCATGCGCTTTATTCGGTGGACGCCCTTCCCTTTGCTCGGCGATTTTCAGTAGCTCTACTAGTTTTTCTTCGCTTTCCAAACATTTCTCTCTTCCACCGCGCATCTTGACTTCTTTCTCGAATCTTGCTTCGCGATCGCTTTGCATCCGGATAAGCTCGTCTAGCTTATCAATGGCAATATCAACTCTCAACGTCGTCCTGATATTTAAGGCGAGCTGGAGGTCCTGCGTACGCTGGGAAAAGCTGTTGCAAACTTTCAGGAACTCGCTCGCCCAGTGGGAGGATCTGAAGAATTTCACTGGGAATGTGATTCTCTATATGAAACACTCAGGAATATGAGGGAAACTGACCCATGAATTTTGACTTGTAGTATTTGTCGATGGCATTTCCACAATCCTCGATATCTTGCCTTATGCCGTCCAGGACACGATCCAATCGCCCCCGAATGTTGCCGTGAGGTCCCACAATGGCAGGATCTCTAGTGTCCTTAAGTCTACCATCGAATAGAATCAGTAAAAGTCATTCAAAACCAGTGTCGGACGACGAACTGGAGAAGCATGGTCATCGTGTCAGATGCTTGAGCTAACATCAACCCAACTCTACGATCGTTTTCTCTTCTTGTTAGCTCAAGATTCACGACGGCCTTGAAAGCAAGTATAGCCACTGCATTTTGTCCAAGTATTAGCTGAGGCGGCAACATCGACAAGTGGTAAACACACCACCAACAAACGGGTGAACCTGTTGCAGAACATCCAGGGCCTCCATCACCTTCTTTGCCTCTCCCAGAAAGTCGCCCATATTCTTCTTCGAGAGGTCCGCGACCATTGCATCAGATGCTGACTTGATGGCTGTGGCATTCTGGGTATAGAAATCGTGCGCTGATCCAACTTCTTGAGCGGTCTTGGCGACACAATCCTCTAGAGTAATCTGAATACCACCCTTACTGACCGGGATGGATTGTCAACGACGAACCTGCCTGATCCCACTTGTCAAGCGTTCTAGCGAAGGTCGAGTTTAAATTTGATGTGGCATCATCAAATACCTTCTGCGTTCGTTCAATTGTAATGTCGGATATGACTTGTTCTCTGTGATTCATGGAGACTGCGCAACAGGTAAAGCGCCCGTGAAGGATTTATGTAAACAGTGAGGGAAGAGACTGCAGTGATAATTATGTCAGAAGTTAGGACCATGAACCAATCCGAAACGAAAGAGAAATTAACAGTCGATTTATCCCAATAGGGCTCGAGTCTAACCTTGTCAGTAGCAAGTTGGACTGTACTGTAGTACCCACCCATCACTGACGTCTAAGACGGACGTACTACTAGTAAGTTTCAAGTCAAGGAAGAGCGGAGCAAGAAGGGAATCGAGTTCCGCTCGTTTCATGGACGCGACATAGTAGGCTACGAGGTCGATATGTGGTGTTTGACTTGGCAATTGCGACGTAATAAGATAAGTAGTATCTTGTTATTACGTCGCAATTGCCAAGTTGCAAGGTCATGATTTCAAACTCACCCAGGCCTAGAAGTCTCTGCGCACGGCTGTGACGGTATGAACTGGTACGACTTCAATCAAATATATCAAACATTAATTGCAACAAATCAAAATCAAAATCAAAATCAATGACATGAGACCCTGCGAGAACTCGCCGCTCATGTATTCAATCTGTTCAATTTTCAAAGTCTCCCGCCAAACTACAATCATGACGACGAGGGTAAGGTACGAAGCAAACGAGGAGAGAGGGAACAAGACAAGCACGCGACATGAGTGAATTCGAGAACCAATTGGATAGGAAGACAACAAAGGCAAGTACTTGAGTACATGACCACATGATGAACTCGGATCCATCTGTCCATGCCAGCAGCTCTTGTGGTAACCCCCCCCCAAAATTATGCGAAAAGTTGAAAACGGATTGTATCTTCACGAAAAGCGCGTTCATAGACAATTTTGATCGTATATGCAGAGACAGCCCAGATATCCTGATCAACCGTTACCCTCTTGCCATTCTCGTTGCCAACCAATACTGAATGTCACAAAAACTAACTTTTGGGTGTCATCTCCAGTGTTGCATGCAAGGTCGCAGTCGATATAGATGCCATTACTACAGCAACACGGTCAGTTGGATTCGTGAAAGGAGAAGAGTCGAAAATATGATTTGTCGTGGATTCACAACGAGCACAATGAGGGTAAAGGTACAATACGGAGGAAAAGAGCGACAGAACAACACGAGTACGAAATAACGACGAAATAGAGAAACAGCGCGCACTACACCACCATGCATCCTGCTCTGATGACGCGACATACTTATCCTCAAGACAAGCATTATCTTCGGGATGTCACACTCAGCCGTCTCCAGCTCCCTTCACTACCACTGTCGGAATCACTCCCCTCGTCAAAATCAGTAAACGGATTATGCAAACGCGCATTTCCGCTTCGCGAAGCCAAGATTTCCGCCCCATCCGGATCCAGCGCCTCGCCAAACACCACAAACTCGTGCTCACTCATCATCAAGGGAGACAGCGAGTTTGCAGCACCTGAGAGGGATGCGTGCGAGGGGAGGTGCACATCGCCGATACGAACAGGGGAGACCAAGTCAAATGGCGAACCGGAGCGGCTACCGCTGCTCCCAAGGCTCAGTGTGTCTGTGCTTGGGGAGGAGAAGGTAGTATGTGATAAAGGCGGGGAGAGCAGGACAGGCGGAGTGGGCGGGGCGGGGTAACGTTCTGATAGTGACTCCACAACGCTATTGTTTTCATTCATATTCTCGTGCATCTTCGCATTGACGCCACCGTTGATATTAATGTTGACGTGCTCGCCAACGACATCAATGTCCACACGCCTGCCCTGCATATCCACACTAACGCGCGAGCTTGAGCTTGAGCTTGAGCTCGAGTGCCGCAGGGAAGACCTGCTCGATGGTACGCGAGAATGCACGGGCGTGCGCACAACCGGAGAAAATGGGCGGGCGGAGTAGGCAGCACTCGTGTCTGGGAGGACGGGTCCAAATGGTGGACTGGGAGGTGCAGAGGATGAGGGCGAAGACGGGGCGAAAAACACAGTAGCGTTGCCCTCACGCTCGCCATCTTTTGCGGTATGAGAAGAGGTACGGGAGTGGGTGCGGCTGGGCGTGCGGGTGGATACAAAGGGGGCTTCTGTGAATGGGGAGGAGACATTGGAGATGACATGGGTGAGTGAGAGCGGTGTGTGCGTGAGGGACGTGAAAGACTGTTCGTACTTGATCAGTATTCGAAAGGATAAGATGAGAAACGGAAGACAGACATACCTCATTCATTGTGCTAGATATACTCCCTTCGTCTGTGTGGGGAATTACTCCGACTCTTCGCCTCATACCTGTGCCTGGGGCGGTGCGATGGACCTGGTTCCGCCATTCATCGAGGTTGAAGCCTCGTAGTTCGATAGAATCTTCTTCTCCTGCAGGGGTCCTTTCCCTCGGAATAGCGACGCTGGGCCCTGGGTCTCCATGTCCAGACCCTCGAGTGGATGACAAAGGAACAGGATCCCTGCGTCGGGCACGACGTTTGGCGAGGAAGTCCTCTGCCCAACGCTCGATGGCGGGGGCGATGTGGGGTTCAAAAACGAACTGGAGAGTAGATTAGAGAGCTGTTATCGGAAGCGGGTGAAGACGGAATGGAAGGTTTTTCATAGATATAAGAAAGAAAATCACCTCATGGAAAGCAATGACAGCAGCGACACCTGCGATAGCCGCAACGACGCACACCGCTACTGGCGCTGGCATTATGGTCGATTCAACCAGTAACTGACTGCTTCGGTTGGGACTTGAAGCTCTGTTGTGGATCAGTTAATATAATTCTGGTTGGTTTGATGTGCGGGATGCCTTGGACAGTGTATGTTGATAGCGTATAGGATAATGAAGGGGAATGAGTTGTCACTCGCCTTGCGGATTTATCCTCGCACTCTCAGACTCAGTCCTGTTCATAACCCTCTTCTCAGTCACCTTGCTGTCATACACGTTATGATTGAAATCAATTGAAATCAGACACCTGCAACGTACTAGTAGAGGTAATGCTCCTGTGGTTCTTTCATATACCGTATCTGTGTGATCCAGGCTTGGATCAGCGTGCAACCCCCGGAGACCAGAACTTAAGAGTCCTTACGTGTAGTGCTACCGTTCTCTGCAGAATATTCATTGATTGATCGGACATCTTCCTGGTACCCTCTCGACGCCCTTTGAAATTTGATGCTTGGTAGGAAGCTTGAATCCAGTGGCTTGAACGTTCTAACTTCTGGACGTCACTGACGAACGTCGAACAGGACACTGATACACACGTGACGCTGCACCGACTTCCGACTCCGAGGCAGTAAGTACTGCTGTGCACTGTGACCCTGCAAATATATATGGTGCGTACTATGTAAGTGTGGCGGCCGAACACAGATAACGTTATAAAGATGTGTTATTTCATTGCTGGCATGGACCTTATGTAGAACTGCACCTGTGCACCTTTTCATGCCTACGGTCCGCATGCAATTTTTTTGGTGAGTTCGAGTCGAGTCTCTTGTTTCAAGTGTGTTTGGCATATCTTTACTACCGTAGCCCCAACAAGGTCGCGCAGTCTTCAAGTTGTACATCAGTGCTTGTTTAACGTTCGTTTATGTCGGCTTGATCTGTTGCTGTGGTGGACCGAATGTCAAAACCTCGCTATAGATGCAGAATGCGTTCCAAATTCCAGCTGGTGACATCCAGAGCATGCGTATAACTTGCTTTGTCGGCAGTTCGAGCTGTCTTCTCCCCGATAACGTATAAGTAAGTAGTACCTGGTCTGTTTCTTTGCAATGGGTCACCGTGCGGGGGATACACTTCAGGTTACATTTTAACTTTTTCCTTCGCCAGAAGGATATTTTGGTATTATCATTGTTTCCTTCATAGGATGTCATTCATGTTTTTTTGAACACCCCTAGAAGGGGATGTCGCCACTCACCACCATAAAAAAATCCTAGCACTGCTTACTGCGGGCTGTTCCCCTTTCGTTGGTTGTCTTCTTCCATTGTCTTCCCCGTGCTTCCATTGCTAGTGGGCTTGTGGCGGTAGGATAACTGCTAGGTGAGGTTCATGTCTGCTTGATGCTAGCATTAGCACCTAGTTACTAACGCTTGCAAACACCACAGTGACATACTATGCACTGACAGACTGATCTTTACCCACGTCAGTACCACCATCGCATTTATGTGCTTCGAGGTCTCACATACCGTGCTATCGATCTTTCCCCTGAGTAGCATAAGACTCAGGTACGCACAGTCGGGTACGCTTTGTCGCGTTTCATGTCTTTGGCCGCCACCCAAGGGCAGTCAGGTTGTTGCATTCCGTGCCGCAGCCCATGCCATCCAAGCTGTTTTGCCGGCTGCAATTCTATCCGCCACGAATTTGTTTGGCGACCTGTGGAGTGTCTTCACATCTCAGCACCTCTCCCAAGCCATCACCTTTTATCCGGTTATTTCTCCAGTGAGACCTATGGGTGTCGTCCTAGGCCGCCACCAAGAGCATCTAAGATATAAATCCAGCGCGAAGGTGAGCAATCCCCTCACTCCACACAAAGCATCAGACTAAGCCATCCACCGCATTATCCATCCTTTTCATCCCCAAAATCTTATCTCGCAATGTGTCTCACAAAAAACTGTCTCGAACATTGCACGAGGTGTGGATGGGATAGGCCGACAGGATTTCACCAGACCGAGGCATGCAATGCACGGCAGCTTTGCGACATCGCGAACAATAGCAATCACCCGGAGTACAATCTTATTAGACATTCGCGGGATGACATTGCGGCGTACAACAGGACCTGTTTCAACAGGAGCCGCACGGTGGATCTCATTTGGAGAAATGTGAGATCCTGTCACCATTGCCTGCAGTGAGGGCTATGTCGATTTCCGACATTGGAACAAGGAGCAGCCTCGCGTCGACAGTTGACATTTCGTATAGAGCTCGGTTTGAATCATTCTGTATATGTTCAACTTGTAGATCTAATAAAGCCATAACTTTTTATTTCAATGACTAGTCGTGTGACGCAACAGGTTGGAATGACATTGACACTTCTTTCATAGCAAAACACTGGGGGCTGGGGTTCGTGCGTCGCATATAAGACCGCGGTGCTTCGAAGAGTCGCGTTCACCTCGCATTTATCTTCCCACTGTCTCAGCGGCCGTCTTCCTGTGCGCACGTTTCAACTCACCCACCACTCTTAGCATTGTTTTTGGTCTGAACTTTTCAAGCCCGAGGTTCTCTGCATGCTGCACAGCCCGGCACGCTTGGAAGGTGCGTTTTTCTTCAATCACAATCTCTGGTTTAACCTACATTTATCTCCTCGGGACCATTGCATCGAGCACAGACCCACAAAATAAATTAACAGTAATTTATTTTACTCACGGCGATTCGTTTTATTTCGCTTTGCGCGTCTACCGCAAACTTCACTTCTAACGCGACGCGACATCTCGCTACCTTGAGGTCAAAGTCGTATAGTGTCCTCATTGCTCTTCCCCCTCTTTTCTCCACTTCATATACAAATGTTAATCTCCCGTACTGTCAGACTTTTGCGAGCCTCGCGTTGTATTCCCAACGACTTCCCCGACAGACTTGATTCTGAATCACCAGTAGAACTCACTCAAATGCCCTTGCACGCCTGCTTGCTCATTGAAGATATTCTACGTCACATTTTCTGTGACATCTACTATGTCTCCAGCCCGGAGGATGATGTGCCAGTGCATTATTGGGATCGCTCCTCTCAACCTCATCGGGGGGTCGCACGGCATTCTCTAGCTGGCCTCTCTCGTGTTTGCCGGTTCTTCAAAGAATATAGCTTTGGACGTGCTCTGGGCCGAGCTGGAGAATCTGGGACCGCTTTTCCGTTGCCTTCCGCAAGATTTATGGACCGAGACTGGTTATCAGAAGCTCGTACGTACACCTCCCACATCTGGGGTGCGATCGTCGACCGGTATGCTGACTGTTTTCATTATGTCACTGTTAGCTCATGCGGCGGCCTGTTACCAAAGCAGATTGGTAGGTTTTTGAGCGTTACGCATCTCGGGTGCAAGTTCTGGGACACAGGCTCTCGGATCTTTTCGGAAGCATATATGAAGAGTTCATCCATGCCATGGCGGGATTTTCTTCGCGGTCGCCGTTAGTACCAAACCTTCGAGCGCTTTGCTGCAGAGAATGTCCTCGGGATCTCCATTCATGTATGCGTTACCTCCTGGGTCCCAACCTCGTCTGTCTTCGCCTGGCTTCACCCAAGCCAGATCTTTGGACGGACACCGTGTCTTCATTGTTTTCAGGTCTCAGCAGGCATTCACCACGACTGGAAGTTCTCGAACTACATGCGACATCTTCTGAAGTCGCTGAGCTCACTCTGTGTGGGCTCCCACATCTGCAGAGGGTATGGCTTACCTTGCGCAGCAACAAAGCTTTGTCCTATGTCACGCGTCTCATCGGCCTTTATGAGGTGTATATCACGGTCCCTATACCATGCGGAGGCGGTAACCTTCAATTCAGTAGCTCGTCCCTTCGCAAAGTCATGATCCACTCATCCACTTTGACCTCCGTTGGAAACATCGTAGAAGGCTGGGTTGTTCAATGCAGGTCGTTGGACTGGCGCGGGCGACAATGTGCCTGCCTCTGGCAGACGAAGCTCGTGTGGCCTCAACCTAATGATAATGCTACCTACGACAATGCCCGAAGGCTCTACTCCTACTGACTAAGCTGCGCAAAGGGTGGCAAACACCCGCCTGCACCACCCCCCGCTGGAGGGGTACCCCACTCCATCGTAGTGGCTCATGTACGGCAATCCTGAAACAGCGCTCGCCGTGGAATGCGCCCTGCGCAAGTTGGACAATCATCCATATCACAGTCGTCTGGAGGCGTATTGTGATACACGGACCCAAGAGCGTTGACCGCGACGACTATGCATTCCACCTCCGTACATTCACTCCCCTCATGCGCTTCTCACGTCTCAAGGAGGTTCTTCTTCCGTCGTTTTGTATGCCTTGGCTTGATGATGATGCACTTGGTACCATCGTCAAGTCATGGCCGTGCCTCGAGCGCCTTGATCTTGGAACCGCCCATTTCTGGCAGACACCACTCAGGGTTACGTTTCGGGGCCTTGTCACCTTGCTATCGTCTTGCCCCAATCTCGAGAACCCTGGTTTGGTATTCGACACGACGAACGTAGGTCCGACTCAAGTTGGGAGGTCAGGAGGTGTTTACAACACAAATATTATCAAGTTATCTGTCGGGTGCTCTCCGATCGAACAACCACCGCAAGTCGCGCTTGCGCTTTCGCAGATCTTACCGTGCTTGAGAGATATGTTGAGCCATGGGCCTGGGATGTCAACCAAGAGGCACGAAGGGCCAAGTGGAGCAAGGTGTTGAACTGCATTGGAGCTTATGGCTTGACCAAACAGCCGGGTTTGTGTGCTTGACATTTAGTGTTACACTATTGTACAAAACATGAAGTCTCTTGTCAAGCGTTGTCCTGGGTAATCATACTTTCTTGAACAACACGCACTTTCTTTGCCGCGTCCTTCCTAAGGGGCCTTCGATGTACCGTCGAAGGTAGAGTCTGTGCAAGTTGACCTCCGCGTTGGTAAAGGTGAGTGTAAATATTGGTATTGCATGAACGCCGAAGAAGACACTCGACTACAGATAAAAACATATTTGTACAACTACAACGCCAAATGCTCCATAATACATACATCCTACTAACGTTACACGTGCAGTACGCCTATCATACCCATCGAAGCTGTGGTGTATCCTATGACGATGTGAGTCGCTCAAAATCTATATGCACGAGGAACTGACGAACAATACCGAGACAAACTTATGTTCAGGGACTTCGTTCTGGTTTGCGTCCTCCCTTCGATTGACCCTCTGAACCCTCCCCAGGACGACTAGTCTCAGGATATAGTTTCTTGGTGCCACCGTATCTCATTTTGGTCTCATTTGCTTGCTCATTGGGCACGTCATGCGGCTTGTCTTTGCTAACATGTTCATACTCGCTGGTCCTGACCCCCGCCAGACTCCACTCCCCTGAAGGTGGCTGATAGGGACGCTGCACTGCATCTGATGCGGCGTCGACGCAGTGGATTGTAGGGTCTTGTGGAGCTGTTTCATCTACATCTTTGAAGTAGCTCTCTGCGCTATGGGGCTTAGGTGTGCCCGGTGAAGAATGCAAGGGACGAGTAAATGTCTGAAGAGAACGGTGTGAGGACGGAGGGTAGCGAGATACTTTTCTGAGACATAGTGAGTGTATCGTTCTGAGCATGCGTCGTGTTAGCGTTGGGGTCAGCAGGCCCAGCCTTAAATGAGTCCGTGACATCACTCCTATTTCAGGTCCGCAGTCGAATTATGTAAAGCTGCTATGCAACATGCATAGGTCATGGAAGTTTAACGTTTATTGCTTCAATCTTTTCGTCCCCGATACAATTGTGCGACAGAAATGCCGAGTTTACGAACTATTCGCAGGATACACGCGGTGTTGCAAGTTTCAGGCCAATGTTGAATAGTTTGACCAGTGACGTCATTCAATTTAACGTGCCTGCACCTCGACAGTCCATCTCGTAGGGGAACGCTACATGCCACAACCAAGTACATTAGCAAGGCACCAAGCTTGGTTGAAAGTATCAATTTCCTTCGTAAGAACAAAATAGAAAGCGAAGCGCAAAGAAAGTACTGCAAACGAAGGCTACAGTTGGCGACTGATAACGTTGTCTCATGATCCACCTTATTGGACGAAAAGCAACAAGTCACTTACCAGAAAAAGGCGGAAAGAAACAACGACACCTTCCTTGCAATGCATGATTGCTCATACTTCTCGATTCAATGCCCACACCGCTTGTCGCCGCTCATCAGTCATTGTAATTAGGCTCGGCGGGATCGTCAGATTGAGTGGGCCCACTAGGGTGACTAACGTCGTCAGGGGCCCTAGCGTTCAAATAGCGAGTGAGGTCAAAGTCAAGCCCCTCGCGCTTAGCCAAAGCTGCAAAGCATATCAGTATCACTCTCACTAATTAGATTGACGTATGAGTCCTCACAAATACGTTTCATCCCCAAGTCTTGTGTGGGGTAGATACGCCACGGCAAATGACATGAGTGTCGTAAATGAGAGCTGCATGATTGTGATCGAGAGGAATGTCCAGCTGTCGATGTCAGAGTCGCGAGGGTTTTTATACTTGCGCACCCCTCGAACTACCTGACGAAACAACAGGGTCAGCAGAGTTTCATTGAGAGAAAATAACACGGACGTACCATAAGAACCTTAGTAAGTCAAGATATCTGAGGTCATGGCACCTGGTGGTTACAAAGTGTCCCTTTCATGTCATAATTTCGGCTATATGTGCAATCGCTGATACGAACTTAAAGGTCATTCTCGTGCTGTAACATCTGCTTCTACTTACTAGATCCTCATGCGACAACTCGTCCTCGTCGGATCTTTTGCAAGCTGGCTAGCAAGCAGACTGTAGCGGCGTCCATTACAAAGGTCCGTCGCGTCCGAATATGCCTCGATTACAAGGCATCCCTACATTTAAACGGGGTGATGTGCTAATAGAAGGCGCGACACCTCATCAACTTCTGGGAGCTCTAACTGAACAGTTCAGCTTATAGGTCCCACTAAATAGGCGGAGATAGCGACTCTCGTCACCGAAGGTGGTCTGTTTCCGGCGTTGGAAAGATCTATACCTTGAAAGAGGTACTCTGATGTTACAGGAGGGCGAAGTGGCCACGTGGATTGTATTCGATGGGCGTAATTCTAGCACTAGGTGACCTGACCTGACTAGCAAGTGTCCGTTCGCTCCATGGGCCACTGTGCATGTAAAAACACGGACCTAACGAGGGATCGAGAAGGCGGAAGTGGTGGGAGACGTGATATAATCAAACCTGCCCAGGCAGCCCAGCTCTGTCATTTCTGCGACCTTGCCAATCGAAGATACCGTGTAAAAGGAACGAAGAAGTTGATGCTAGGATGCGGTGATGTAAATATTTCGAGGGTGCTTTCGTGTATGAGAAAAGTGATAGAGCCGAAGCAAATCAGTGCCGCAATTTGCGCGATTTCACGTGTAATTTGGTGGGTTTGCAGTTTCGTTGCGTGCGTTGACTGAGGGGACCTTTAATTGGCGTATGACAAAAAAGGAAATTGGTTGTGTAAGAAGCCCCTATTTTCTTTCTTATACCTCGACTCACTCGCTTCTATCTCCCTCGTTTGACTCGCCCCTCTATCATGGCTGCCAATCTTTCAGAAGGTTTTGATGATCATAAGTCCATTGGTAATGCCCCTCCCTCGTACGAGGCGACACCTCTGTCTGGATCATTCTCGGCCTCTGCCCAATCATTCAGCCTATCATCTTTATTTTCCTTTCTATTCATCAATCATCAACGCACCGCGGTTCTATCGCGCATTCGTGATATCGTTCTCACCCCCAATTTCACTCCTTCCTCCGCCATCTCAATCATAAACGCCTGTGCTGCTGATCTCACACCTAGCAGGTTCTCCAAGCTCCTACAAACACCAAATATCGAGGGTCACACAGCGCTATATTGGGCAATCGTGAACAACAAGCGAGAGGTCTTGTCGGCCTTTGCTGCATTCATTTCCGAATGTTCGCCTGCATGCTCTTCCGAATTACGTCTCGCATGCATATTAGCTAGCGACCATGCGTCGTTTACGCAGCTGAAATTGGCAAATATTGATGGTAAGTTATCGGTGATGGAGGCCTACCCGAGAGTGAATTGACTTATCTATCGTGCTCCACATCAGATAAGGGTGAGGCTTTGAGACGCTCTTTGGGTTGTCCACCAGATGAGCTTGAGGTGCACGAAACTGGCAGAGTGGACGGCGACTACCAGTTCGCCGCTTCTGTCCGCATCAGGATGTTCCAGAAACGCCTGCGCATTACGCACAAGTTAAATTATGAATTTGTTGCAGGCGGTATGTGACGCAGGCCTCTTGAGTTTTCGCCATGCCGATATGATAACACTACGACCTGTAGGACGTATATGGTGGTTTCGCTTTGCTATGGACAATCAGTGGAAGTGGCGCATCAAGTTTGGCCTTGCTTCGCCCAGCCTTCCAGCTTGCCCAAAAGCTTCTTTTCGGATACAAGACGATGGAGAACCCGACCGCAAATCCTTGCACCTAACAGACACTAAGTTCGCCGAGACGGTTGTGCCAGATGTGTAAGTTTGTACTTTATCTGCTCTGACTCATTCAAAAGTACTCATGGATTTACGATTCCTGTGGGCTATTATTTGTCCCCGTGCCGGCTGCACAGACCTTATTACGATATGATATATAGCGGGGTAGCTGGCAAGGCTGCCAACTGCCTTCAGTGGTCTTTGGGCGATTGGGTGATGCACGAGTAAGTCTTTAGGTTCCTTAGCTCCGAGTCGCTCCATGTTATATAATGTGTTTGGAGCAATCGTACTAACGACATATATTGTGACTCCTCTTTATCGAATTTAACTGACTGTGTTGCGGCAGGAATCCCGTCTATGTGGACCGCGATGGCACCCTACATGCAACGATGGAGATGATATGCAAAAGTGGGTAGTTTGTTGTGGCACTTATTTCTTGCATCAGGAACAAGTGAACGGACCATTCTTGTTGAGCCATACTCTACTACAGTAGCATGACCACTCTCAGAGTGCATGAAGACTAAGACCGCGACACTGAAAAATTGCTCAACAATGTGCTCCCAACCTTGGACCCCTATTTATTTGTGTGTTGAACGAAGAGTGCACGAGAGTGAATATGTGGCTGGATTGCATCCACTTAAATTACAAGCTGAAAGAAGGGAACCTTTCAGCGCGTTGGAAGAGGGATATACTTGCAAGGCACCTGTGGGACTACAAAATAACATATTTTATGTTGTACTAAAGCATTAAAACCAGTAGAAAGACTCTAAGGTGAACGTCCCGTTTAATTTTAGGTAGTTAATAACAGCGAATATACAAAGGCTGTAAAAACACTCACCTAAATCATACAGAAGTACCATCTTCCCAATCCTCCATAGTCACATCTCCACCTGGGGTACTCCGTCCAGTCGCTTCCATCATCCCTCCCAGTCTGCTCCCATTCAGAGAGCCCAGTACCGGTTCCTTACCCAACCGGACACGACCATACGTCTCGTCCCATCGCACAGCACTCTTGAAGAAGCGTCGTCCCCGTGGTTGAGCCCTCCCGACGTCAGGGTCAACATTGACGACACGATTCGAAAGGATACTCATGCGCTTCCGTCGGCGATATGAAGATCCATCAGAGTCGTACCGCTCATCATCTGATTCGTCAGAGCCTCCTCCTGGCTCCTGCAACTTGTACACGAACCGGGAGTGTTCTGCAGAGTGTCAGACTGACTCTATTGCGCTGTGATGACATGTTGACACTTACGAGCGAGCCGACGATCTAGATCATCGGTGCCACCGTCTTCGTCAACATTTTCTTCAGCGATGTCTAACCCAAGGTGCCGCCCTAAACTTTCCCTTGGTACCTCATGCATCCCAACACTGGGTGCACAAGGCAAATGTGAGAGCTGCTGCAGCGCCGTCGCGCGCACTTTGTCCAAGCTTCCATCCCGTACATTCAAGTCATCCATATTGTTTTCTGGCACCTCGAGCCTGTAACGCGGGCCAAACCACTCAAAGTACTCATTCCATGGCAGATTGGGGTCAATGTCGTCCTGAATGCCGAGAGCACATGCAGTCTCGTAGGTCCAGGTCCGCGCAACGTTCTTTACTGTATATCCTCCGCCTCCAAGAAGGATAAGTGGGACGTTGAAGGCGCGCAGATACTGCACGCAGTGGGCATGTCCATTCATAGTCAAGTTGAAGCATCCGAGTTTGTCTCCTGCGAGAGAGTCCGCTCCACATTGTAGGATGACTGCACCAGGTCGATAAACTTCCATGATCTTATTTATAATCTGATGAAGTATTAGCTGAAGTAGATGCATACTTGATGAGTACTTGCCGGTTCAAATACCCTCTTGAAAGCGTCGTCCGTGATTCCGTCCTTCAAGGGGATATTCACCGTGTAGTTCCTCCCCTTTCCTCTTCCTCGATCCTCCTGAGTCCCGGTACCGGGGAAATATTCTCCAAATTTGTGGAATGAGCATGTCATGACACGGTCTGTGGTGTAAAATGCTTCCTCTACGCCATCTCCGTGATGACAGTCGATATCGATGTACAAAACGCGGGGGTATGTCCTCAGGAGCTCCAGTATACCAAGGACAATGTCATTAATATAACAGAAGCCTGATGCCTCCCGTTTCTTCGCGTGATGGAGACCACCTGCCCAATTAATGGCGATATCTGCGGCTCCTGAAGATATCCGTTGTGCAGCAGCTGTGGGATGTCAGTGCAGAACGCGTAGATAAACAGACATAGTCATACATATTGAACCTCCAGCTGATATTGAACAGAACTCGAATACACCTTCAAACGCGGGGTTGTCCTCGCCCATCAGAACTGTGGAGGTATTTCATGGGTAATAAAGTGCGTCAAAGAGGAATTGCTGGTACTCACAACGGGTGCCATGATAAGTTAACTCTTCCGCGGTCTCTGGCGTCACGCGATTGAGGAAATGTATGTACTCGTCCGTATGAAATTCCGTCATAACTTCGGGAGTAGCGCGTTTGGGACGCTACGCATGTGCTGTTTCCTTAACAAAAGCATACATTATTCAGGAGGCAGGACACACCAGAACGTGCATTTTTTCGAGCATTCCGTAGGCTGATACAAGATCATGCGTGACACGCATTCGATGCGGTTTCATGGGGTGACCGAGACCGTACGTATACGAACCGGTGTCGGCTGTGGTATTGGTTCGTTAGGAAGAAAAAATGTAGAGTCCATGGTAGACACACCATCATAATAGTAAGCTACACGCCTCTTTGACATCTCTTGTTCGTTAATGGCAAGACAGCAGCTTTCACCTGTTCGTGCGGGCGTTAGGTACAAATGTTTGGAGGTGTCTACCTAGCGGGGTTCAAAAACCTAACTTGGCGGCGCGCGCCGGTCCGCTGGACTATGTCATTTTCTCAAGTGTACATGATAACATGGGTGTACACACTAGTACAGTTCAAGCCATCTCATTGCTACCTGAAAGCGCAGTTAAGAAGGATCAACCGATTCGTATTATTCATATATATTCGAACTCCACCAACGGCGCTTTACTACATCCCATCATTGAAGACGTGTCTGCCAGCTGGGCTCTACCGCCTTGAGCCTTAAATCACAGAAGCAAGTCCTTGGGAAGAACGTCTGAGCCGATAGTACGTGCACAACATTCGCTTTGTACTCGGCTCCGTGGAGAAAATTGTATCAATTGGCAATGAATGCGTTGAGGGAATTATACCAATGGATGAGGGGGGGCTGACCAGGACTCAGGAGAGCCCATGATATCGTTATCATCCAAGATCCGACTCAAAGCCAAGAATCGCAGCGCATTTGCTCTATGAATTCCTGCTCTGATACCTGCATTCAAACTAGCACCCACCCAATTTATGACTTTATTCGTGATATAGTGGCACCCGTGCCGCATCTGTGAGGGGAGGAAGCAAATGAACGTTAAACTTTCACGCAAGAGAATCATGTGCTCCGGTACACCGGCAATTTCCGATATGATAGCTCTCTCTCAGCCGGAACCCAAAAACGATCAGAACCTGTGATCAGCCCTTCCAACGGTGCCACACCGGCTCTGGTATAAACGTTAGCATATTGGTTAGCCACTCCACTTTTCCCTTCTCTTCATTCCTTCACCTACTCACCGAGCATGACTTGGTCGGATGTACCAATCTCGATAGACCCGATCATTACTGACAACGTTTTCATTGGAAAGTATGTAGCTTGTTGTTCAGTATTATGACCTTATCTGACATAGACCTCAGTCTCTCTGCCGCTCTATCAACCGATGTACGCAAGAAACTTGGAATAACGCACGTTCTTTCAGTCTGCACCGACTATTCGTCCACAGACCACAACCACCTCACTATACCTGTACAAGACTCAGAGTACGAAGATCTCCTCATACATCTACCTCGGGGATGCAGCTTCATTCAATCCGCTTTGGACCAAGGGGGAAAGGTTTTAGTGCATTGTGCCATGGGCGTCTCAAGAAGCCCCACTATGGTCTGTGCTTACCGTAAGTTTACGTCCCTTTATTGCTTTCTTTGTGGAGCACTTATTTTGGCTCCTCGCATTCCCTTAAATGTCAAGTAATGTCCACCCAACGGCTGTCTGCTCATGCAGCAATACAATACGTACGAAAACGTAAGATTCAACCTCCTACTTATTCCATTGGACTCATGATCGTTCGGCTACGCAGGTCGACCAATGATTCATCCTAATTATGGATTCATGAAGCAGTTGATTGCTTTCGGCGAGTGCCGTTATAAGCCCTCATGCACAAACAGCGAGTACATCGCCTGGAAGCGCAGGCAAAAACGAGAAGTATCTAAATACCTCGACTTGATCGCCGACACCGTACCCGTGATACCAGATCAATTATACCTTAGTAGGTGCGGACATTCGATTGTGTAGCTGAACCGCATTGCGGTTTACGCCTTTTAATTTTAATTTTTAGTGACTTCCCGGGAGATCCTGATGCTACCGAATCACTTCTCTTGGACTTGGGCATGACGCATGTGCTTTCCATCTCATCTGCACAACTTCCAAAGCCAGATCTTCCTCTGTTCAATCACTGTTTTATTGACATCCCAAATAATGGTCGCGAAGCCTTGTTGCTTGAACTTCCGACAGCATGTAAATTTATCGGCGATGCCATTACCGGCGGAGGCCAAGTGCTTGTTCAGTGCCGCGTCGAGCTCAGAGCTTGTATTGTAGTTTGTGCCTATTGTAAGTCGTTCTTCTCTCTTCCTTTGATGTACTTTCTACATGACTGTCAATCAGTTATGTTCTCGCGTCATGTATCACCACGTCAAGCACTCGTACTTCTTGAATCTGGTGAGTCTTAAACTTGGAACACTATTCAATCATACCTATTCACGCATGTATCATTCCAGCGCTTCCACTGTATAACCCGACAGACAACTTCTACCGTCATCTTGACCTTTTTGCAGCATGCAATTACGTCCCAACGCCCAATAACCCCCTTGTCCAAGCATGGATCTCAGGAGGCACGCAGGCCGGTAAACCTTCCTTAAACAAGAAATCTGCCACAACGACCAAAAACGCTACGTTGTCGCTTGCGACCACGACGCTGACACTTGCGACGGAGTCGAAGGTGTTCGATTTTGCAGCGCTCAGCGAGGTGCTGGCACGGTTTCAGTCGACTTCAACGAGCGTGGGTGCTGCGCGCGCATAGTTCGGTTCTAATATTACTGTTTAACATGCTTGTTCGTTTTGATCATACCCCTCTCTTAGTCCATGAACAGTATACTTTGATAATATCGTATCAGTGCCTATCCCAGAGTTGGGATTCTAGTGTATGTAAACCGAGGCTACATACATCATGATCTACCATTTACATGTACCAAGCTGAGCACAAGACCTTCTACGCCTCATTCCTCAGTGTTCTGTGCTCACCTGCACTCCTACGCACCCTTCATGCACCCTTCTGAATTCCTGTATGACCCTTCCTACTTCCCGACCATCCCCTCCGTCGTGCAAGGCCTACTAGGTCTTTCGCGCGCCTCCCTAGTCATCGGTGTTGTCGTTTCAGTAAATTTTCGATGTTTCTGGTTATCTATGTGTTACTAGCCACTAGCTTACATACTGGCATGCTGCTGTATGGTTGCTGCCGTTGGTACTGGAAGCGTACGAATGCTCACCCGATAGAAACCACTATTCAAAACCCTTACTTGCGATGAGTGACCACCCGCATTGGTATTGGTCTCCTCATCAGTATCCAACTTGCATGTCACGGCGATGCTCTCTTGCTAAGCCTTAACACAAGGTCGTCCCAATCCTATACGCAGCCTAGGCACTATATTAAGCAAGCGGCGTCAAGCTCCACGTCTAATATCGCAAGGCACAATAATCACCTAGAAAGATACTTGACAAGTGACTCTGTCGACCTTCTCTGTAACACAACTGAACTCCAAGCTCATAGCGTTTGGATTAATCGCACACATGCAAACCTTCGTGCCGCCTGAACAAGGTGGGAACACTACTGTATGCGGAGACCTCTTCCCACTTGGTCGGGTCATACCCCCCTCCTCGAGCTCAATGTAGAGCTTTCTCAAGCACGGCAAGATTGCCGAAAGCACGGCCGCAACTGGCAGTAGAGAGCACCCGACCCAAAAGGTAGTGATATTTGCATTGCAAATTCCCCCTCCTGGTTTCTCAGTCGTAGGCGGATCGATCATTGTGGTATCAAATACCAAACCGAGCTTCCTGAGATTAGGGCAAGACGATAGCAAGGTTACAATATCCTGAAAAGTGTTTGTGGGCGGTGTCTGCCAGGAATAAATAGTTCCGAGATCGAGGCACTCGAGGCGTAGCCAGGACTTGACAATGGAACCAAGCACACCATCATCAAGCCACGACATACAAAATGGCGAAAGGTTGACCTTTCGCAGATCGGAGAAGTGCATGAGGAGAGTGGATGTGCGGAGGCTGAATACGTAGTCGATATGCTCAACCGTCTCGGGTACGTCTGGTAGGCTACACTCCAGCCTATCATCAAAAGGGGTTCGATCGTTCAGGTTGCACACTGTAGGCGCGTTCGACGGCAAGCGCAGTTCCAGGATGCTCGGATACCAGCTACAGCCGTCTGCATGGAACAACCTAGCCTTCTATCGGATTTCCGCTCAAGGTCAAATCGGACGAGTGGATAACTAATTTGTCCAGGAAAGAGGTACGAAATTGAGATTTGATGCGAGCGAAAGGTGCCGCAATCCGCATATCCAATACTTGAGGGCCAACGAGACCACTTAGACAAGATTAAGCGTTGTTACTGAACAAGGTAAATGATACTTTCTGCAGGTGCGTGAGCCCGCAGAGAGCGAGCTCGCTCACTTGAGGAGATGTCGCATGTAGTTCCACGACTTCTAGTCGTGGTGAGTATCTGCTGAGACCCGGTGCTACTGAAGACATGGTGTACTGACCAATCCGCAGCGGTAATATCTCTGTATGAGCTGGCAGTTGACATAATGAAGGCATTTAGCACGGCGTGCACCAGAGAGGCTGAGAAGGTAGGTAGCACGTACAAGCTTCCGATCACCTGTCATGGTCCATAGGTCTCCTGGAAGACAAGTGAAAAGTAGTTCCAAAGTCTCCAGCTCGACCCGTAGCACACCCAACGCTATCTCTTTGAAGGTACGACAGATATGAGATAGAGAACGTCGCGCCACTCCATGATTAGGTTGAGAGCAGCTGCGATCAAATCATGTAAACAACCGTCCGTGCCCGAGTCATAAATGTCAGAGAAAATGTGTTTTAGAATCTCTGGAATGAGGAGGCAGGCTTGCGTGGAGTACTCTTCCATGCGGTGATGCTCAAGTGAAAGATCTTTGAAGGAGCGTTCAGATATACGTGGCTAAAATTTGGGCGTATGTTAGGAGACGGCATTAACGAATCAGACATGTCACGCAAAATTCAAATGTCAAAGTTCACTAGCAAAATGACTGTGAAAATTATCATGGCATAGATCAACCATCAACTTGCCTCTATGATATACATCATTGTACCAGACGGGATTCGCAGTCTAGTCCATCCTGAAGCACAGTAGGCCTGCCGCCCTCAAATCGCCGTGTCTGAAAATTAACGCTATCGAGTCTTGTGGCGCTTTCATGGGTAATCTCATCTCGCTATATATAGCCTTCCGAGGATTTGATCTTGGCAACAGCTGTAGCGCCGGTTGCAATGTTCCACCAGTGTGTCAATAAACTCATGTACTGAACTTCCTCACTTACCATATCTCTGGATGACCTCCATCAAACTATAAGAATCTATTCTCCCTTCGTCGTTAAGCGAGCTGCACCAAAGAAGATTCGACGAAGTACACAATAGGAATATGTGCGTTGCGATAATCGGCCACCAAAACATCGACCGAGCGATAGTCCAGCTCGGTCTTCGTCTTGGATCACGTGAGGACGCTCTGGCCCCTTGCATTAATGCTCTGAGCTCTCGTTCAAAGGGCATGTTCTAGAATCAATCATCGTAATTAGAAGTGATAATATGACGAGTTGTTTTTGACTTACTAGTCGTCAGTCGCCGGTGACCAGCGGTACTATCAACGCCCTCTACTCCCACCGTCTCTTGCTCAGGCGGAGTTCCGAGCCCGACGCAGAACAGCTCCTTCGCAAGTTACCAGCCCATCATAAGAAGGTGGCACCCAACTTCGATTATGCGAGACTTACCTGAAGGATTCAAAGAATATCTATCAGCACCCGCACATCGACGCAAGAAGAATGCTCCATCAAAGCAACGGTTGCAGATCGTGTGTACGAGCAGCTCTCGGCATCAATACGAGCGGTTGTCGCAGGGGTGAATCAATCATGCAAATGGAACAAAGCATGCATAGGGAATATATTTAAGCACAAATCAGGGCTTCCTGCATTCTGGTCAACTAATGCATAAACTGCTTCCGTCGCGGATCTTACCACTTCCTTCAGACTGGGATAGGACGACTTATCCCGGTGTGGCTGTTCTTGATATGATATCCGCCGGCAGGAAGGATCTGGCCCTGATTGGCGGCGGGGTATGGGACGTAATTGGGCTGGGGTGAGGGGCGCGTTGCCTGATAGGGCTGGGGCATATCCGCCGGGAGGGGGTTGAGTGTTCTTGAAACCGGGAGGATAGTTGTAGTACTGTGGATTCGGGGGCTGAGCGGGATAGCCGTTGTAGCTGCAAGGGAGAACTTTGAGGATAGCCTACATGCATAGGGTATGGAGCTTGACCGCCGGGAACTGCAGCATACTGAGCCACTGGTAAGGCTGGGGTTGGAGGAAGCCAGAAGCCTCACGTGCTGCAGCAATGGAAGACGTCCATATTCCCTTTCCACGGATGATTGCATACAAGACGATGGTGTCGTAGTAGATGAAAACTAAAAGATAAATACTTTAGCAAACAGCAAACATTCATAAACTAGAGACGTACCAAAGAAGACAATAAATGCAGCTGCCTCCGCTACAATAACCTCATAACGAATCTGGTTAGTTGTGGGATCTAGTAGTCAAGATTAACAGGTGCAAAGAGTCGGTCACAGCTACCGAAGACTCACAACCTGTGTAAATGTGTCCGTCAGGGAAATGTGGGCCCTGGCGGCAACGGTATCAACAGCGGTACCGACCCATGCCACCCTGAGGACAACTGGAAGACGATCAGCTAACAAGAAAATTGCTACAACGTTTGACGCACGGACCCAAATGATCAAATGCAATCATGGAGGTAGAACGTTCCACGGCGTGCGCAACTCAACAGTGAGGCTGCCAGCTGCAAGCCCAAATGCGACAAAGCTTAAGTTGACATTTTGACATCCAGCAACAAGCGGCTGATCAGGCTGAGCACAGATCCGGGCCAATGGCCACAAAGAGCCAATACTGAGCTAATGGCTCCAAGACACGGTTAGGTTCAAGGCGTATCACATGTTAAAATAGTACAACAACTCACAAATGAAGATGGCACGGAACCAAGGGTAGCCGTTTTTACCTACAAAGTGACAGAAAAACGTTGAGGTGTGAGGTAGGTGAGACAATGAGCGTAAGGGATGACGAAAGTATTTTATGTTTTGACATTGACATCGCTTGGCGTAGGCTTGATTGATCGATAAGTAATAAATTGAGCCCTGGCTTACAAGACATAAGTATGATGTAAGTCACTGCCTTATCGAAATACACAATACCAAGATCACGTCGTGACTACTCACAAATCGTGAAACAAGACATAAATGGGGTTAAAAAAACAGCGAGACCGACTTAGGGTATAGGCACAGCACACGCTGGTGATACACCAAGGACTCGAACTGCATCGAGGCGATATCGTCATCGGTCGGTGGTCACAGTAATAAATTGAGTCGACGAATCGCACTACAAATTATACTTGACAACCATAACACCAAAAATTTCAGTCATAGAGGATAAAAAAAACACTAGCACGAGCATATGCGTACTAGCGTGCGGTGGCAACGCAATCCTGACTCCTTGGAGACATGATGTCGGAGACTCGGAGGTGAGCTGAGCCGAGATCTCACATGACCTTTGTTTCAAGACGCTAAGCACACGAATCAGACAGTTGAGCGCTTACGGAGCAATTATATCGTTATTTCGACTTTGGTGGGCGCTGTACGTCATGCTTCTGTTCTGGGTGTCTTTAAACTGACCAACGAAGATCGACGAGGATCCACAGGGAATTGCGATAAAGCCAGGCACCCTGTTGAACTCCATCGCTGCGCCTCCTGCCAACCACGCTACGCCCACACGGTCCCTAGAAGCAACGGACAGTAGTTTAAATGTACCGTTTGATGAGAAAGTCGCGTTTATGGCATGCCCAAGACACGCGGCAGACAGGCAGTTGTTGTCAAGAGAGCAACCTTCTAATCAGAAAGGTAAAAATTCCCATTCAAAGGAAGTAGTCCGCAGGAGGTCGTTTTGCTGGGATGGAGCGTACGTCCTAGTGGCATGACATGATCAGATCACAGCGCTAGATAGAATGCAAACATTTCATCCCCGCAAGTCGCCTTTTGGGGAAGATGAGAACGCAAGGAACTTACCGAGGGCGCATGTTGGAAAACTTTGTATTCTTGAGCAAGGCGTTCATCTAGCTCGAGAATCGAAGCTATATTACCACACCTGTCATAAAACACGATAGGTTACGAAAGCCGAGACTCATGCAGGGTTCCCATTTGATCACCACTCACCGATAACAGTAATTTGGTGCGCTCCACACTGTCACTATCATGTTGTCAAACATGAGCTTATATCCTTCCATGGCCAATTGATGGGCCCGGGCGATGAGGTCAATAGAGTTGTGGTGCGCAAAGGTTTTGGTAATGTCGGCGCCGAAAAGAAAGCCAGCGCCCCGCGGAGATAGGCCCCATCCAGTTATATCTGTTTAAAAAGACATGTGAGCGGACATCGCCGTCGAGCATGCTTTAGCAAGACTTAAGGAGATACACACCGTCTGGATCGGACCAAAGGAGGTCACACATTGGACCGTCATGGGGAACTTCCTGTTTTCGATCAATAGCGCGTATCTAAAGGCAGAGCTAAGAAAGCGTGCGCGGAACACGGAGCAATGAAACATAGTACACACACCTGATCAATAGCCTGCAGGTTTGGGCTGAGTCCACCGTGGACACAAAAAACTCTACCGTCCACGATCGCGCCTAACGCAAGATAGTCAAACACCTCACAACACCATCTCCACACGTTGGTGCTGCCATATTTTCTCTGACACTCGTCGTAAAACCCATATACCTGTGTGATCTGCCGTGACTCATGGTTGCCCCGGATCAACGTGATTCGCTCTGGATAGCGGACTTTGAGTGCCAGGAGGAGCAGAAACGTTTCGACACTGTAGAAGCCACGATCCACGAAATCACCTGTGACAACGGGACATTAAACATTAGACAGCCGATTGAAACGCACCAGGACGCCATGCTTACCCATGAAAAGATAGTTCGTCTCCGGGCAAAACCCGCCTACCTTAAACAATTCCATAAGATCAAAGAACTGCCCATGGATATCGCCGCAGATCTTAATCAGAACGGCAGAATCAGTATTAGCCTAGGAGAGGATTGAATCAAATGCATTCACCGTCACAGGAGAGTCCACGGCTTGAACATTTGCTTCTTCTATTAGGATCTCACGGGCCTTGAAGCAAAGCCGTTTGACCTGTTCCTCGGATATGGGTTCACATCGTGTGAGCTGCTCTATTTGTCTGTAGGATCAACGCGCGAGAAGAAGTACGCAGTGGCCGGACGTGTTTCGTGCGCATTGGATAACGCAATGCACAGAAGCCGGTTTTTGATCGCCAATTACACGTTGTTGCGGTACTTTGAGAACAAGCTGTGACCGAAAAGATGTGAATTCTCACCTGTCGAGATCACTGGGCATTGCAACCTATCTGATAGACCGTCGACTCGGATGCCTTCGACAACAAGTTGTAGTACGTGTGCACCGTGGAAATAACGTCACATCAAGGCACAGTACTGCCGCAGTACCGCCACGTCAGATCGGCTCGGAATCCACGATGCAATTCTTCTTATGAACAACATAATGTACAAAGTATGTATATGCAGGCTAGATACGCAGGTATATGGTATGTGTGTGGTAACGATGTAGTACCAAGCAGCGTAGCAACTGCTGTAAAGATAGCACGAAATGCACGATAGTAATCCGTACACAAAACAGAGACATCGAGGGAAGGAGACAAAATCCGGTTACGAGACAGCTATAAAATACGACATTCACAACAGCAAACGTGAAACAAGGGGGTCTCGGTGTTATACATATCCCGTTGAGGGACGCGCTCGCAGAGCGTTATCCGCCTTCCAAGCGCTTTCGCCGAGGCCGACGTGCGGAGGGTGATAAGGATACGAACTCTGCACTTGAGAATGATGCATGTATGAGAGCGAGGCGGGCGGTGTTATTGAATGGTGCATTTGAGGAATCCGAATGTCCCCGCGAAGCACCCTCTCGTCCTGAATCGGCGCTAGGACTGGTGGTGGCGAGTCATATCTTGGTATGCTCGAATGATGCGACATAAGATTGTGACCATATGATCCATGAACGACATTGTTTTGTGTGTTCATAAAGTTACTGGATATGTTTGAATGATCGGAGACAGGATCCAATATCCCAGAACCGTTTTGGTATGACGCAACCTCGTGTGAGTCATCCCGGTAGGCTGAGTAGTTGGGCGAAGATAACTGAGAGTGCGGTGAGACAGAGTGCGGTGATTCCGGTGATGGCGTGCTGACTGTCTGATAATGTGTAGGATAAGAATGTGGATGCGAGATGTGTGAAATCGAGAGACGAGATGATACAGACGAAAGGTGGGCGGATGACTGCGCAGAGCCATCATGAACATTTTCCATGGGTGATTGATGAAGAGAGGAAGAATGAATACGCGACATGGATGGCTTCTCGCCGTATGCCTGAGAATAGTCGTATGAGTGGTCATGTACAGCATGGCCACTGGAAGGCTGCGAAACAGCCGCTGAGACGTAGCCGTAATTAGCTTGCGAGGACTCGTCATAGCTTGGTGTGCTGTCACCATAATGCGACTGGATTGGCGAGGAGTGCGATGCGACTTGACCATTGGACATTGGCTGGGAATGTTGGTTGATCATTGATGGGAAGGAGTTCTCGGGGGGTGTTGGCGATCTACTGGATACACTGCCAGAATGCAGGCTGTCGGAATATGGCGGTACAGAAAATGCTTGTACCAAAGGTGGAGGTGAGTCGGGCGCTGGGGGGATTGCATGTTCGAGTGCCGGTGGAGGGGAGGGAGTGTCCGACGAATTGCGTTCAGAGGAAATTAATGAGGATGCGGTTCGGCTATTTTTTGTGCCAGAACCGCTAATGCCCACGGCACGGGCAATCGCAGCACGCGTTGCGGAGCTTGAGCTCCGTCGTGAGCCAGGAGAGAGATGAATGCGGTAACTGTAGAAAAAAAGAAGAAAACGAAGCTCAGTTGGTGGCCATGAAGCGCGGCGATAAAATATGTTGAATAGATCATGGTGATAAGTTGTTGAATAATCAAAATTGTGTAATTGCTGTGTGGCGCCGATAGTACAACGAGAATAGACATAGCGGCCGGCGATAAAGAATAGAAGGTGTGCTCACTGTTGCTGTAAGTTGTCTTGCCTAGAACAACGTGTTTCGCATCCAGGAAAAGGACACTTGTGATTGCGTTCACCTGTGTGAACGCGGAGGTGCCGTGCAAGGTGGCCACTGGTAGTGAAGCCACGGTCGCACGTCGAACAGACGTGCTTTTTCTTTCCATTAGCCGTCCCAGAAGATGGGGAGGACTGAGAAAGGGAAGGTGCTGTGGGTGACTGCGGCGAATGACCTGCAGACTGACTAGAATCAGATAGATACTGTACAGAAGAGTATTGAGTAGAATAGATCTGAGAACTAGTAGAATCATGCTTTGTTGAAGTATGACGGGGCATGTGGATAAGGGAGTACTTTGCAGGGCTGCAGAGGAAACGGAGGATAGGAATGTACGGATTGCGGAGGAACTGGAGAACAGGCTTTTGAGGAGAAGAAGTGTCGAGGCAGTGACGCCCAAGAGGAAAATACGTAAATAAGTGCGGTCGCACCAAATAAATGTCATATATTTGTTATATTGATAGAATCCAAGGAGAACCTCAATTTTATTTCAATTGAGGGCTACGTTTAGACTTTGGAATTGACATTTCGTAACATACAGACTTGTTGATAATCACTTGCCGTTTCTTCCGGAAGCGTACCAAAAAGAGAATATTAATTTCGGAGCGGATGCAGTTTTGGACAAAACTTCCGGGGTTCACGAGGCTTGATTTCTATTTCTTCACACTCAGCGCTACCATGATCACCGTCCCATTAATATCTTATATAAAACAGCTTCTCCTACTTGCACTGGATTGTCCTCGATGCTTGCATGCCTGAGCAATCATACTAAGGTTGAGTTCTGCCAGATCTGATAGTAAGAGCGTGGAATAGACGCCTGGCCTGACATTTCTTCCTCGCCCACGTGAGATAAGTTTCGTGTTCTGTTGACCCCCAAACCGACCAATCGGTTTTGCATTCAATTCCGCATACTCTCCGTCAGCCTCTTTTCATTCTCCAGTCGTATCTTTACGCACAAAAAACCGCCTCACGCAATTCAATTTCCTGTCCCCAGGCACCGTTATGAAAATGCTCTTTTCGGGACCGTCCAGACCATCCATTTACGGTTTCGATCGCGATCAACCAATGTTCGCGAGAAGTTGGCAAGCAAGCCCTTCTCGTCATTCAACACACGGTAATCGGCTCAACACTGCGCACAGAAGCCATTCTTTGGATGAGCGAAAGTCGCTCGAGTTGCCAGCTTGCACCCTCGTCATGGATACTATTCATCCCCGTGGTTAGCAGAGGAATCTCGGTTGAATCCCACTCCGTTCATCTCCACAAAGTGTCACGGAAAGTTTGCAAGTCGTCAATGCACCAGGTCGCCGTCCTATTGATTCGAAACTCGCTGACCTCTAAAACATTGGTGTTCCGCCTTCTTCCGTTCAACAAGCTTGCAGGCATCATTGACATAATTCAGTAGCAAAAGCAGTTAGTCGTCGATAGGTTGAGTGATCGTCACTGAAACTCTCTCACACTGAGTTACATCTCTGTCGAACGCCACAAGTCGACTGCCTTTCTCTGATAACCGTGACAGGCGCCGAACTCTATCATATACCTTGGATTCAGATGAATACACAACACCATATACTGCCAGTGACAAAGAAGCTAGCTCAATTGATCATATGCTCGGCCCATCAGTCACCATGTCGGTCAACGTCGTCCCGTGCACCCCCGTGCAGCTTCCGGGTGGATCACGCATGTCAGAAGTCAGAAGACCACACCAACGTCACTTACCAGATCCGCGACCGTTAAGTAAGCATAAGATGAGAGCAACCCTGAAGGAGTTAACTTTCTTAAGGTCCACCGTGCCTCGCGCTCGTATGTCTCAAGACAGTCGTACGACGGAAATCATTCCGTTTTAACGGTTCGGGGATACTCGCGGACGCGCCAAATACCACCGGGCCTGTCCTCTATCACGTCGCAGCCTAGTAGGGATCTGGAATAACGGTTATGTACATGATATATACCCACGCAAAGACAAATTGTGATGGCATTCCATGACAGGGGGTCAGGCGAGGTTGCTGCATCGCCTTGCAGTGCACTAGGTAAAGATAAAATGAAACGATGGTTAGTTCAACTCCCTGATGCGGATTGGCACATTGAACAACGAAATGATACTAGACGGCGTTCAAGGGACCGATCCAGGGGCTTACGAGACCATTTCCGACCGTTGTAGAGCGGAGCCGTTACGGGACCTGGTCAACGAACGACACAAAAAAGGTCTCTCATAACAGAACGTGACATGCATACCTCATATGATAAAAGTTCCTTATAGTGATCAAACGTTTGTCCAAAAACAACCTGGTGTCAAAAACTTTGACTTGTCATCCAGGTCTCGTACATGCCGAAACTCAAACATGACGGTTACTTTTCTTGTGAGCGTCTGCGACAGCAGACAGTCCTAGTCAAAAATGACTATCCGTGGCTTGAGAAAAAAAGTCTTGGAGACAAAGTCTTGGAGACATGAACACTTTCATGGATTTACTCACTATCTAGATGTAAAACTTGACGTGGACTCGTTCCTTGGCAGCGCTCGAGCAAAGGTATATACAGCAGCCCGAGTGACTCACCGCAGCATCTGAGCCAGCTGTCCTTCTGGTAAATCTCCGGACCAACATATTTTAGTGTTGCCGTAGTTGCTTATCTGATGAAAACACGACGCTTCGAAAAGACCGACTTAGCCCCAATCATCCTTCTGACAGATAAGAACTTTGCTTCTGGCAGTTCACCGCGAAAACGTACATCAAAAAATTCCCTTCCTACCCCAAATATATATGGCAAATATCATCTAAACTTTCGTTGACGTCGCGCAACGATTGGATAAGGTTTCGAGTGAAATACCCATTTGGGAGCAAAGTCTGGCATTGCCCGAGGCGCTAAAACTCGTTGAATATTCTTCCACGGAAGCTCAATTCAATTACTTATATATGGAACCAATGGTTGGGAAGGGCGGGAGGCGCGCGATCGGGTTACCAGAAGGCTATGCCCTTGATCTTCAGGGCAATAGAGTCTCTTGGCCATCATGATGGCCCGGGGAATGCAAAGTCGGGGCAGTGACCGAAAAGGTATTGCCGGATTCTTCAATGGCGTAATCGAGGCAAGAAAAATCGCATGACGGCAAGCACAGCCGGCTACCATCGAATCCTTTCCTTGAACTGTGACGTTAATAAATGCCACGATACTCAGGCTGCCCTCGCAACCACAAAGTTCAGTATCATACGTAGCTTCTGTATATCATGATATTAGCAACAGGTACATCTAAGTCCTACGAAGGCTGTGTCTGCGCGATGAGAGAAATAAGAAGAAAGCTCAAAATCGTGGCATCGTATCAGCTCCCAATCGGCCTTTAAAGCCGTTGGTAAAAGCGTGCGGGGCTTCTTGTTTTGCATTACGATGCCAGATCCGCTCTCACCCAATTCTAACACTATGCACCCTAGCAACCCATGACAGCTTAGAATAGACGAATGGGTTTGCCCATCGTGCTCTTGATATGCAACGACTGGACATTCTGCCAGTTCTTCTTGAGAAGGGAAACCAGAAAGTTAATACCTACGACAGCGTGAGAGACAGTTATGGTCGCATGTCTAAAATTCGTACTCATCATGACGTTCGCAAGGACCTGGTCGTCAGTCATTTGGACATGTCCAACGGCAACACCCAAGCAAAGGACTTTCTTGAGTTGGAACTTGATCGTTGATCGGACCTCATTGAGCTTGTTCGCTAGATCCTCAGCGTGAGAGATAGGAGTAGGGAACTTTCCAGCTAGTTAACTAAGTTTAAGGCATGAAAAATCACCGGATGAACACTAATTGATTTCACCTTTAGAGAGACCGGGCCCAAGAAGACGAGGAATCTGCTTGATCAAGGCTTCAGACGCCAAGAATGCATCATACTTCTTGGCGAGTTTCTTGACGAGCTTCTTATTCTTGTTCAGTCTGGCGAAATTAAATCAGAAATGATATCAGAGCCATAGCCTTACTCACTTTTTTAAGTCATCAACTGACTTGTACTCCAGCTCGATTTGCTTGGCGCGATCTATGTCCGCCGCATCAGCAAGAATACAGATGGACATGCGCGGGCGAGGGACATTAGGCAGCCTGAGATATAATCAATCACGACCTGTCATGCTCTGGAGCACGTACGCACTTGACGGTACCAGAGAAACGCTTGTCTTTTTGAGTATCGTAGTTCTTAAGACCAATCTGAAGTTCGATGGTCTCCACAAAGTTGCGTCTTTTCTCGCCATTGGCATCAGCCAGAAGGTCCTTAACGGAGCCCCCGCACGCTTGCCACTGATAGCTTACTATGTGATAGTCAGAGACGACCGAAACAGGTATCAGCGTGCTGGAAAACATACGAGCTCATGCTTGGTGACGGATTTTTGGGGTGGGTGGGATGTTTTGGGTCTTGAGGATGATATGAACGAATAAGGTTCAAGTGGCGGAATACATATACAGTGTGACATGCATACGTAATCAGAGATTTATTTGGCAACGCGTGACCTTCTGACATATCGGGCGCTCGGTGTCGATCGGGCACAACCACTTCACTTCACAGGACGCTCTTGGGAAGTCTACAAGGAATATGTTCTCTGTCCGTTCCTTCTAACTACCAACGTTAAATATTCAATCAGTTATCTCTTTATTTCTTTCATTTGCTCAATTGTATGCTTAGTTATTGTGGTATGTCTCTTCTTTTCATATGGTTGCTTCTGACCGAGTCATTTACATTCCAAGGTCATGACAGAACCTTGGGCTTTCCAGGGCGGGACGCCGCTGTAAGCCGTTGTTCTCTTTGTGGTAAAGCAAAGTACTGAGCATAGTAAAGATCTGATACCCCTGAATCTGATCTAGCATCTCTTTCACCTCGAACTGCGCTGCTATCGCCTCCCTATGAGAACGCAGAGCTAACCAGGTTACGGCGTGTTCACGGCTCTCCCAACGACAAATTCCGTCGCGAACGGGAACGTGTTCACGCAACTGCGAGCGCTCGTGACCTCTTACGACTCCTGGTAAACGAGGAGTATGAGGCGAAGCAGACTCGCAAAGTGCTCTATACTGCCTTAGACAGGTTGGACGCTGAAAGTCGCCGTGCTGAAGAAGCAGAAGTGCAACTAGCAGAGACTTTGGAACGGACGAGGTCTATCAACGAAGCTCGCGTTGCTGCTCAGCAGGAGGCAGCTCGGGCGCAGGAGGAACTGAGGCTCTACAAGTTGCAACTCGATAATGCGCAGAGAGAAATTCTCAGAGCCCAAGATGTACTTGGGGTCATTGAGGCCCAGAGGGATGACGCAGAGGCTGCGGCCGCTGACGCGCGCTCGAAGGCTCGAAGACTGAATGAAGAACGGTTGATTGAGCTCGCGAGGGAAGAGGGTCGTAGATTCGGGTACGAAGAAGGCATTCGTCGCGGTCGTAATATGGGTTACCGAGAAGGGCGCGTCACTGGTACTGATGGCGGTCGGCGAGACGCCGCTGCCGACAGGCTGCTCGACATACAGGAAGAAGCAAACAACGCTTCTGTAGTTTTGCCTCCTCAGCCTGCGCCGGTCACACCCATGCCAGAGAGCCGAAATGCACCAGAAGTCCTCCGTGTCTCCTCACATATCTCAACTTCACTCAATGGTCGTCGTGACTCTCGTTCTCATCGTGATTCCGAATCTGATTCTGCAAGTCGAACGAGCATCCCGCGCGCTCCTGACCCCATAGTAATGCCTGTCATGGTTGAACACCCGCGGCCCAGGACAGACACCTCCGTTACCAGTCAATCTTCTCGTTCGCGTTCACATCCTCAACCTTGGCCCATGTCCGAGCGCTCTTCAACTCGGTCACCCTCAACCAAACCGGTCTCAGTGCAAAATTCTGCACCTAGTGTTCAGCACTCAGAGTTCCAAGTCCCACCGGACGGCTACGTGCCGACCCTGGGCAAGGACCAACGTATATCTCTTCCTCCCCCGCATGAACTTAGTCGCAGTATCTCTTCACCATCACCGTCACAACCTGTCGCTGGTCCGTCCTCAGATTCTGTCAGAACGTTCGACTACCCCCCTCGCCGTGCTTCTCCTGAGTCACAAGCGTCAACGAAGATGTCTATGTCTCAATCCTCCACCATATCGGCGCTCGACATTGTCGGCCTGCCCAACATGACGAGTCGCGACAAACGCCGAGAGCGCAACGGTCTGAGTATCATCCATGAAGATGCAAGCGTCACAGCCGACTATGAAACCGTGACTGGATCTGACGCGGGACACCATCACCATCGCAACGAAAGACGCAGCGAAAGAGATGCAGACAGTGAAGCTACCAGGCACTCACGGAGAGAGATATCAAAGCAGAGGCTTGCTGACGAGCTTAGCCGGTCTAACTCATCCGAGTCCGAGGACTGGCGTCGATATGGCACAGAAGACAAGGTTTGCTTTTATACTACGTGGAGCGCACTTTGTGTTGACGAGAGCCACAGACTCACATGCAAAGTTATGATAGTACCACCCATCCTCGCTTAACTAACATGGCAACGCCAAACCCGCTCTCTCCTTCGAATTGGGATGACGCTAACACACCTCGGCATAATCGGCATTCAAGGACAGTATCCACTCCTAGTCAACGAGAGTCGGCCAGATATGAACACCGAAGAGACGTGTCATCAGACAGCTCTGTCCCTGAGATAACCATCCAACCCCCAGTGAGTGTCATCACCCTGCTCTAGATAAACGCTAAAGCTAAGCCTTGACAGTCCTGCCCTCCCTCTGACGCTCCATCGAGACGTGCGTCCGTATTTGGGCTACTCAGTCCTGATCACGCCAATCACCCGCTCCCTGTGCCTGTGCCTGTTTCGCAACGCACCTCACCTGTTCCTACAGTCCCTAACACTCCCGTTTCAGCGTCTATCTCGTTGGTAGGGTCCATGTATGACAGAGGACAGCTGCCAACCGGTTTCACCGGGAACAGTGGCGCACCGCCTCCAGGGGGCCCTGTCATTCCACATATGACTAGGAGAGAAGCGCCCTCGCAACGTAGTTCGCTTTACGCACCTGCCCAGCCTGAAAGCAGGCGATCACAGACCCCCCAGTCTTATGTGGCCTCCCCAGTCCCTTCTGGTTTCTCCTACCCCGCACCGCCTATTGCCAGGGAACCGACACCAAACGGCTCTGGACAGCGCGGAGACCGTTCCTCTACGCATGAACGCCGGCAGAGTCTAAGCCAGACGGCGGGAATGACGCCTGGCGCCCCCCCACGGTCTCTACAGCCAGGCCGCGGCGAGACTTCGCGTTCGTCCCACAAACAACGATCAAATGCGTCGAGTAGTTCGCGCCAGTCGTTTGCGCACTATGACCCAGGCGTGTACAATGACCCTGCATATTTGTCGAGTAACGAGTCAGTATTATTGGATCCTCGGACGGGCGCGAATACGGCTGCGAATTCGGGTGGGTCGAGAAGGACTTCGTAGATCCTCGTCACGTTCCCTCCGCCTGCGTATGTGGATATTCAAACGACTGGATGATTTTGTGTCGCACGGACTGTTTCTTGTTTATTCTCGTCGAGCATGATATTTGTTGTAGCGCTCAATTACTAACATCAAGTAATTAACTGACTAGAAGGTCTGTATATCCACTGCTATTGTTTTCACCATTGCATTTCAACATGAATCAATTATATGCATCATCGTCAGGACGTCCGAGGATCATGTCCCTAAATTAACTTGTTATCGTTTATTCCTTCTCTCCTCCGCCTTCCCGAGGAAACAATCACGTATCTTTAAGCGAATTGAATGATTGGAGCGCCCCGGTGGGAGTCTACTGCTTAATTTTTTTTTCTATCATGATACCCCACACAGCCGGATCCCGTTACAATCTGCATTTACGGAATGATCCGTGGAAGCATGGGCGCTCGATCTTGCCCCTCGGTCAGCCGACCTGTTCACCGTGATTAACGAGTCATCGTGATCAACAAGAAGCGGCGAGTCCAGTGAGGTCCAGTCCCCTCAATGCCGCCACCAATTAATCTGTTTAGCATGTCGCTAATCTGGAGAGGTCAGTTCAAAAGTTGTGACATGTATTTTTTATTAGACTTATAGTAGAGTTCCGTATTTGCCCGCGAGCGGCTCTCGACGCGGCTATCTGTTCAATTCACGCCAGCCACGATGTCGACGACGACACAAGAAGCATTTAAAAATATTCCACCATACCAACAGATGACAACCACCATTGAATACAGTCCCCGAGTTCCAGAGGATAGAGAAGGATTGTTTCTCTTGCTCTCCCTTGTCGTCCATAAGTTAGGGGTACCATGGTCAATTTATGGCCTAGGTGAATAGGGGCGCGCGATTTCAACCTTCGCCGCTCACTCGTAGAAGCCTCTTCCATCGATAAACACCGGCGAAAATGTCAGACTCAAACACCTCATCAGTTTTCGTAAACTCGGACTCATCAGTTTCTCCGGACCAAGACTCATCAGTTTCCTCGAACTCAGAGCCGGAGCACGAGCTCTCCATCTTCAAGCGTATCGGGGTACATCTCGATTCTCTTTCCGGCTCTCCAGCATATGAAGTGCACAGAGAGACCAAGCTCACACATGCACTCGACAACCTTGCTGGCAGTCCGTTCGTGTCCTTCAGGAGTCGGGTACAAACGGGCGCATTTAAGCTGCTCGTCAAGGGAGAGGATGCGGGAACATGGATGAAACCTGTCGTTGAAGTATTGCAAAGGCACGCAACCCCTTCGCCATTCGGCAGGGGAGAGGAAACTGTCATGGATCCAACTTACAGGCACGGAACAGAACTCAAAGCGAATGAGCTCGCCTTCAGTTCGCAAAGGGATACAGAATACAGAATATTCGTGCGCCACATCCAGCGTGAACTCCGAACAAGCATGTTCGTAGGGAAAACCGTTGCTCTCAAGTTATACAAGCTCGCCATATATGGCGAAGGAGGTCATTTTGACTGGCATCGTGACTCGACACATAGCGATGCTCACCATGGAACGGTGGACCAGGGGTCCCAAGGCATAGACTAAGAGGCAGTCTCTCAAGCGATAGTAGACTCATAGCCCAGAGGCAGCCCTTCGGCGATTTCCTTAGCTTAGTCAGCCACTGACTTACGCAGTCAGCTCTGTTTGTAGAGCATCATCGCAACACCTATCCTCATAGAGTCTGCTTTCTTCTGCGTCTGCCCTAGTCCAACGTGGTGAACAGAGCGAATCCGAATCAACCCAGTTTCGCATTAGAGTTCAACGTTGATTATAGTCATAGCACGCAGCATCAGTCTAGAACATTTTTATCAGAATTAGGAAGACTTCGGAACAAGAACGAACCATTTACAGAAAACAGCAAGCATATTACGTCGCACCACGCGTTAAAAGCCTGCATGTATTACAAGAAAAGGGCCGAGTCTACCTTACTTTTTTTACGTGTATATTTTGATGCCTAGCACTGATAGCACCTCAGGCATTACTTTTCGGAACCAATAACGGTCTTTGAGACCCGGTTCCTATGTTGTGGGAAAGTAGTCTGTGAGACCCACCCTCCCGCCTTCTAATAATAACACACCCTCCTAGGATGTACCTGCGCCTCCAGAAACCCCTCGTGCACCTCCAGAAAACCCTCGTGCACCTCCAGAAAACCTCTCGTGCACCTCCAGAAAACCTCTCGTGCACCTCCAGTAATCTCTTATGCACTGAGCTTGGGAGCCTTGCTCCTCCCCGATTCACGCTGTAAGTTCTTCTCTTCTTTCCCTCACCATGTCTTCCTTGACGCCACGTCGCACTCGCAAAGCTCAACTCGCATCTTCTGGCCTAGGATCTCACTTTGTAAGCCCAAGGAAGGCTCGAGACAAACGGAAAACTCAAACATATGTTGAGCTTCCTGGCGCAGAGACTAAGCGCCGCCGACTTTTGGACGCAATGGAACGACTTTTGAAGCCGCAACACGAGGAATCACACCCACAGTTGTTGGCACAAGCACCACCATCTGATACTGTGACTACGGAACACATGGATACTGACAATCTTGTTGTCAGCGAATTTCACTCTGATGAACAGCCATCTCTTGAGATCTCAGTATCGCCTGTCAAACGGCGGATTGTGCCCGACAAATCCACCAATTCACTCTACAAAAACTGGATTGCACTCATACCAACCCTTGTTGATCCAGTACTCCAGTACTTCAGACGAACGCAGGGCAAAGCACTGGAAAATATACATCCAGTCATATCTGCATGTGGGAAGCCTTCGTGTACACCGAAACGGACGACAATGATGTGTTTATTCTTCGACCGTGAGCCCATGTCTTGCAGTAATCAAAATTTTGCTGACATCTACATAGGGTTCACATCTATAGATGTACTAAGTTGTACCTGCTCCACTCTCCAGCAAGTCCTCGTTCACCATGGTCTATTTCCGACCGCGCCTTCACAGCCTCGAATGGCTGTATCTGTTGACCTGCTCTCATTCTACCGCGCATTGTTTGAGCGCTCATGTGACGCGATTAACGCTCTCGCATCAGCGCTCAAAAATCACTACTCCCGGCGGGGTTACCAGATGACTGACGCCCAGGTAACAATCACTTACATAACTAGGTCACTACTGATTCATCCCAGGGCGAAGTTATACAGGACCCATTCCGACGAGGCCTCGGCTATGCCGTGCAATGGTACGACATCCTGCAAGTTGAAGTTGAGCGCCAAGTTGAGACGATCGTTCAACAACACCGTGATCGTATAGCAGAGTTTCAAGCATCCTCTCGAGTCTCGAATTCACCTTTGCCCACTCAATGCGCACCCCTTCTAGTGCAACGGTGTCCTGCTTGCTTTGCAGGTATTCTTCATGGTAGATCTACAGATGAGGGAGGTGACATTCATGTCGCAATGGACGGTAATTTCCATCACCGTCATCGACGTGCTGCTGGAGACTGTCCAAAGTTCTATGACCCTACTTATTTTCTCCCGAAAACCTTTGTTGACACGATTGGGCGCCATATTGACACTCAACGTAAGCGACCAGTGAGGTCTCACGTTCCCCTTGTCCCTGATGAAGCCGTTGACCAATGCGAGAATGCTTACGAGGCTGCTGACGGCAAAAAACAGAAAGCGGCAATGGATAGCTTCGACGACACTGGAATCATGGCCCTTATCTGTCGTCACGACATCCCTTTATTTTTTGCCAACATAGACTCACCTGGAGAACAGCAAAAGTATTCGGTAGCCTTACTTCAGCACTTCTTTTCACTTCTCCCCCCCGAAGCTACTGTCGTAGCTCTTTATGATGTCGGCTGTGTTTTGGCACGAACACTCTCCAAGGTACGTTATGATCCTGGACTGAAACAATTGCTTACACCATTTACAGCATGAAATTCTTCCCAAAAGCATCACCTCACGCCTTCGATTTGCAACCACTGCCATGCACGCATATGGGCACGAGTGGGCTTGCCAGCTCGTATATAACCCACGAATATGTGTGGGTCTTGGTTTATCTGATGGTGAAGGGACCGAACGCCTCTGGTCTCGCTTAGTTCGATTGATAGGTGTTGAGCGCACTTCTAGTGTATGTACTCTATTATTTTCATTTAAAACTAATGAATTTAAAACACTGCTTAGCGCCAACGCCGTTTATGGTTGATTGATCGGCAAGCAGTGGCTATAGCTTCGGAGATGCGAACTGATCTAGGCGACTGGATCAAACGATGCCTCAGACGGGGCATCAAGGGGCAAGGTTCAGCAGCCCAAGACGCACTAGATCAATGTGAGGTCTCCATTGAAGAATTGCAAGCCGAGTGGTCGCAGCAAAGGCAATCTCAGTTATCTATCCGTGCTCGTAAGTTTTATACATTTTTAAATGACGTGGCTATTGCTCAATGATATCACAAGATGCACCCGCCTGCCTCAAGAAGGAGTTGGACACAGTCTTAGCTCTCCAGGCAGATCTGGACGCCTCAGACAAAGCATTGCAAACCACCAGGATGATGTTGGAGAAAGATATGGCTTCAGATGATACACTAGAGGCTCTCGAAAGTCTAGAGAGGGGACACGATCGCCTGATGAACAAGGTCGAGGCTCTTTACTCCTCATTGAACATTCATGACAGATTTCCTGAGCTTCATGGCATCAATCTCGAATTTGTTCGCATCCTTCTCATGGCACGCGATCTCAAAATGAACGTTTGTAAATGTGCGATTGCGAGTTTCTTCGAGTGGGATAAATTAGATCGAGCAGTCAGTGGCGCTCAGCAAGCGTTAGGTAAGTTCATGCCGATTCATTTGTGAATGATTTATTAGATTCTTTTAGGCGCCAAGCTGCATCAACAGACACGTAAAGCAATTTCCAAGCGTCAGCCCGCACTAATGACCGCTATCAGGAAATTTAACTCCTACTGTGAGCGGCTTGATTCATTGTATGATACATCCTGGGGGATTCCACTGCCCGCACCCCTTCCCACCAAACTTGCAGAACTACGTTCTGACCCAGGACTGATGGAGGATGTGTGGATTACACCGTCTCATGGAGAGGTTCCGCGGTGGTTAGACGACACATCTACAAGAGATGGCATTCGTGCACTTCTCAAGCGTGATCGGTGTCGAGAGGAGCAGGTTCGGCTAGGTGTTGAGGCCGATAACCTGTGCCGCTTCTTCGGAAATGAGTTGGGGGCACTTGAACTTGCCCTTCGGTCGCCAAACAGTGAGCTAACCTTTCTTATTAACTTCCATATCTCATATACCCTTAGGTGAACCATTCGCAGTTCTATTGCAACAACGGCATGCCAATTTTATCTGCCTTCAAACACGATGGTCAAATTGCTTGGCTTCTTCGGTACGCTTTACTAATGAAGTCAGCAAGGCAGTAGCCATTGCGACCACCCTCTCGGGAGGCTCACCAAACATGGCACTTCATTGGATTAATGCCAGCATGCTGGTAGTGTCTGATTCTGAAGGTTGTGATGAACTCCCTATCGTCGATCCTGACCATTGCCCCCAAGTCGACTCTGAACAAGCAGCTCTGGCCGATGTCCTGGAGGGTGAGATGGGGGCAATTGAGTTAGATGACGATGACTCAACAAATTACGGGCGCGATGCTAATGCTGTGATTTGCTGGAACCTTCCTGAGGTACGGTTATTTTTATTGTTAGGAGTTGACGATGACGTGTCATAGAATCTCCTTGTGGATGACTTCTGCGTCCCATCGCAAGAGCCAGGTGTCCTCGACCCTGCTAAAATTTTCGCGCGAATACGACCTTCGCATGACGGAATCCCTCGTCTAGAGTTTGATCCAAAAGAAATCGGTATACTCAGTTCTCCTACTGCATGCCTCAATGATACATGCATTAACAACTGCGCCATTCTCCTGTGGTGCTCTCAACTGAACACCTCCGCTGCACGGTGTGCGATACTCTCCACTCACGATCTTCCCCGCATTCGTTACAATGCCCCAGACGACAACATCTGGCGCCATACAATGTGGATTCGTTATTGGGAAAAAGACATATGGGTTCTTCCGATTCATCGTCCATCAGGGATTGGACACTGGGTGATGTGCGTCATCCAGTTGTCGACCAAAGAACTTTACTGTTTGACAGCATGGGCGACAGGACCCCTTGGCAAAGTGACGTCAAAGTGAGATTAATTTTTTAAGAGTTCTTTTGTCTGACCTGACTGATTGACACATGATATGAAAGGATATAATGAGACTGATTGCTCGGTTCCTTGCAGTTGCGCGTCAACACGGCCATCATGTTCATATTGATCTTGCAGGGTGGGTGGCTCGACCACTGAATGTGAGTTTCATGCTTTGCTTTCTTGACTAGTCTGACATCGTGTATTATTTAGACCAAACGTCTTCAGAATAACGACTTCGATTGTGGCGTGTGGGTATTGGCTGCAATATTCGCTGTTATACGTGGCAGCCGTGTTACAGGCCTACATGAGCAGGACATGGGCAATCTGCGACGCTATGTGCGGAGTATGGTGCTTGCATTACCAGCTCTCTCGAGTTACAGTAATACAAGGTCTACGTATAAGGATTCTTCCCAGTAATTAGCATATTGTCCTCCCTCTGATAATTCAATATCCTTCGTGCTACCCATTGGCGATAGCATTCGGCCATGACCTTGTGTCTTGTGCATGCCTGCAAGCTGCTAACACGAGCATTGAGCTCATCCCAACCTGTAAGTAACCGCTGATGTGCTTCTCGGATCTCTTTCAGAAGCTCAGCGATTTCACCCATGTTATATATGGCTGCGTGACGAGCATGTGATTCCCTTTCTGCGCGCAAGTGCCGGCCATGCATCACGTCGCAGAGGTTTTGCGTGAAACGGTCTTCCTCTGGTGAATCAGGTGGAGCTGGAAGGTCGTAAGGAGGGGCTTTGTTCCACTGCAAGAGATCGGATTGATCAATCAAGTCAGATCCAGTGAGAGATTGGTGAAACAGATAGGAATCAGGAAGGGAGAGGGTTGAATATTGGATTAGGGAAGACGCCTGAAGAGCATGCAGATCCCCAGATCTGATACGAGGCCCACGTCGACCATGATGCTTGGCATAGGCACGAGCGTTTTGAGCTTGTCGAACGAGTTTACCTCTGTAAAACATATGATTAACAAGAATAAATGATTGCAAAATACTTACCGTTCTGACCGAGCATACAATGTCTTGTGTTGCCGTGCAGCTGCTGATTTCTCTTCAAATGTGAAGTACTTAGCTTTGCGACCCATACTAGAGACCGGGCAATGTGAATGGTCAAAGTGTGTTAAGACCATAGTTGGTCTTAAGTTCATATTGCGATACTGTCCTCTTACCCGTCAAAATGCAATACAGCCATGAAACATGATGTTCTTGCCTTGATTTTGTATTAGCATGATGGGGCGCACCACGGCAGTCGATGATGCTACTGTTGAGACAGTTGGCTGGCAGTCAATCCCTCTACATTTGTGTTTTCAATTCAGTGCGATATGTATTTTCAATCTCATTGGCTCACCAATGTCATGTCCACCCCACAGGAGGCTCGGACAAGCCTCCCACTAGTAGCCTCCATGGAGCCTCCCACTACTAGTAGTAGCCTCCATGGAGCCTCATGGGGCTGAGCGCTGACTTCAGCTTACATAATAACCCTCCAGCCTGCTTTTCGGCGCTAGTACCCTTGAACTTCGAAGCTACTGTATTATTCCGAAAATTTCCATGGCTTCTTCTTATCGATTAACAGTCTCAACTATCGTACCTTGTCTGTATCCTGCTGCAGAATGACTGCAATCATATCTCAATCCTCACACTTTGTTGATGTTGGCACGCAAACAGACACGCACTTCTGTACCATCAGTCACCTCGTAAGTCCTTAGTCAGTTTAATATTCAGATGCTGCTGATTACTGATTGCTTCTAGCTTGAGCTTGTGGACAAGGCTGTGTCGACAGAGGAGGACCCAGGAGTTAGTAGTCTCCAAGTTGACGCTGGGTGGAAGAGCCTCGATGGCATTCCTTGTATCATGGGTGGCATAACGGCCCTTGTTGGTAAGGCATATTGCCTTCCATTTTTAATACCAATCCTGACTTTATTTCAGCATCTGTTGGTGGCACCTTGCGTGGGCGTACCTCGAACGACTTCCCTTGGAAAACTCTACCCAAGGAGCTAGCTCGGCTCGGATGTCGCCTCGTCAACTACCCTGATGATACTTTGATGCCCGGCGAGATTCGACCTACACTCATTCGGAGCAAAGGCATACATGATCTGACCCTTCCTCATCGGGTTAATCTTGTCAATGCACTCAAGATGGGCACCCTCACTATACAAGCCATGACAAATGATACTGCTCGCAAACGCCTTACAATGTCCTGGGACCCAGTCATTATCGCAGAGGCGCCCTCATATCGATCAAACCACTCCCGCGCGCGACGTGTGTTTGCTAATGGTGACATTGACTTCAGGGGGCCTCGCCGTCTTGCCTCTCCCCCTTCTACACCTTCCACTCGTCCCTCTACACCTTCCAATCGTCCCTCTACACCTCCTAGTCGTCTTTCTACATCTGCTGCTCGTCCTCCAGCACGTGCTGCGCGTCCTCACACACCTGCTGTGCGTCCTCATGCACCTGCTGCTCGTCCTCCTGCACCTGCTGCTCGTCCTGCTATACACCCTACTCGTCGTACTCAGGTTTTTGTAGAGATATCACGCCCACCACCCCGGCCAGCTTCTAGGGCAATACCATCATCCACTGCTCGCACCATATCACGCCCGCTACTCCGGTCAGCTTCCAGAGCAGTTTCTAATCACACCAACCTTATCCCGCCCATCACTTCTGTCGAGCAGTCTGCATCGACTTCTGAATATGATGATGAGTTACATGTTAGTGAGAGCGAACATCGGCCTGCCAAGCGTAACAGATACGGTATGACTGAATCTTAATGATTTCAAATAACGTAGATGACATGTTTATACAAGCAATCTTTTCGGAATTGTACTTTTTTTTCTGAACACGCGGATACTCGGGTCGTGATCGATCGTTGGCGGTATTCGCTTCTTGCTTTGAGCCTCTTGAGCCTCCCTTGAGCCTCCCTCACGATCTTCCGGTAAGCCTCCTGCTTTCACTTCTTCATATACACGCAGAATTACACTTTGGTTGCCAGCTCAAGCATTTCATTTCAACGTGAGTCATTTAGCATTATGTACAGCGTTATCCTCATTCCTTTCGTTCTGAACCCTCTTATTAGCCTCTCGAGCATCCCGAGAGCCTCGCTCGCACCCTCTTGGTTACCTTGCCAGATGGGCCTATTCAAATATCTTGTACGTTTGTTTAATTCCGTGCTAGCATACCATTCTAACTTGTTTAGTCTGCATCAGCTCAAATCAGCCTCATAAATATGAAGGCGCTGTAGGTTTTTTTCTGCCCCTTCTGATTTCCCATCTGATATACTCTTGCGCAAACCGCCCAATAGACGGTCTGCAAAAATTGGCATCTACTGCACATAGTACGAGTAAGTACGCGTGCTGTCATATATTTCTTCCAATATTGACCACACTGTAGACATGACGCAAAACATCCCCGATAACCCATCATCTCCTCACCCGAGTTACATGGGTCTTCCTGATACCTTCGATTACATGCAAGAGCAGTTTGGTGGTGGCCGTCGTAACCCATCACCACCCGTTGAGCTGACTCCTTCGCGACTCAGGAGTAAGCTCAAGGCTACAGAGCGGGATGCCGGCCTTGTCAAAGGTGCATCTACCCGCCGCCAGGCTTATCAACGCCTCGCTGTGGAAGGGCAAGATCCTGCACCTAACTTACCTCATGCGGTGCCGGCTGCTATCTCGACAAGCGAAACATCATCGTCAATGCTCCATGTGGGTAGTAGTCGCCATGCCTCACCCTTTCCTGCCCCACACGCTCCTGAACAGCTCCAGGATGTGTTTTTTGGTTCCATGAACCAGCCACACGCCTGGATGGATCCCAACTCTTCGGATACCTTTAGCATGATGGGGTCCGAATCTTATTTATCTGGAGGATCGCAAAATCACTTCGTCCCCCAGGATATGGACCGCCTAGCACCTCCGCCAAGTTACACTTTTCCTGCGAGTTCATCGGGTTTGACCTCTCGTGGATGCTCGCTAGATCCTCATGCTACAGGCCAAACCCATTCTGGATTGACTGAGGATCTTGCTGGCAAAGTCTCACCATTCGTCCTTCAGCCAGTTCCGTCATCATCGTCTCATGATCACCTGCCTGCCCTCCCAACCACCAATGTCATTCCACCGACGCCTTTCAAGGATGGTGATAGCACCACCTCAACAAATACTATCGGTACTTTGCTGAGCGGTTCCAATTCCCAGATGGACTTAGGAGGCCATCCTTCTACCTCTCGTGCACGCTTTCCCGAGGAACACGAGCCAGTGACCCATGATGAAGGACTTACGGTCACTGGACGCAGGTCTGCAGAGGTGAATGCAGCACTTGATGTCGGGTTTGCTGCAGTAGAGCGCTGCTTTCTTGAGCTCGCTACATCCACCACGCTCCCTACTTCCCAATTGATCAACCTATTCTTGAAGAGTCGTGGACGCACCGTGAATGGCACTAACTATTGGAACCTATACGCCAACTACTTCAAAGAGCATATGCAGATAGAACTCGCGCGCATTGGCAAAGAAGCCCAGGCTGGAGGTGGCACGCCAAGTAAGTATTATTTTATATCTTGTTGCGCAGGACGTTTATAACCCTTATAGGTGCAACTGTGCGCACGCAATGTTACGACAAATTCAAAGAGGCCTATCCTGACTCTTACCAAGATATCCTGCTCATGCATGAGGAGGCATCACTCCTCGGATCATCGCCTCAAACAATAGCTCAGCGTGGACATGGATTCCAGAAACACTATCGAAGGGTGATACAGATTGTACGTTTTCTTTCCCGAAGTTCCATCATCCCCTCATGTTGTAATCACAGCTCGAGTCTGCCGCTATGAAGTCAGGCTTTGAAGCAGCGATCGTGCTCTGCGGGAAAGTAGTCAATGAAGATGGTTCACTTGGCCACTCGTATAACACGCCAGGTGCTGCAGGGGTAAGTCTCTTTGTACTCTACATCCTGACGTATACTTAAAGAGACAGTTCTGGGAGACACGATGTCGCGCAAGCGATGATGCCATCGTCGGGCATCTCAAGGCTCACGTGTAGTGAGTGTACACTTAAATTTTGTTTATGCTATGACTTATGCCCGCACAGTAATACTACATCTTTAGCTGCGGTGGATGAAGCATTCAATGATGGCACCCGCAACGATGGCACCCGCAACGACCCTTCAACTCCAAATTCAACCCTGAACCATGATCGTGATCAGTCTCAGGCTCCTGAGGGACGGGATGATGGCTTGAAATGGATCAAGCTCGAACTTATCAGACAAGTTGGTATGTTAGAACGTCGACACTCCTTTTATTCATTTGACCTAAACTACAAATAGCCCAACTTGGAGGCAAGTGCGCCTGGGATAAAAATTTCCCTTGGAAGGGCATGTCAAGCGCCCTTGCTGATGCCAATCTCTGTATTAGAGGCTATCCGGCTCATAAGTGTCTCTTGCCTGGCGAAGCTCACAATGAAAACTCGAAGAACAAGGGCATCGGCGCGCTGACTCAGAAGGAAATTGTAACGCTGATAGATGCGTTGAAGGGAGGAACCATGCAAGTCTTCAAAGTTGACAAGGCACACCGAGGTGAGTTTTGTTTACCTTTTAATATGCACTTTTGGGTTTTAACCTCACGTGTAGCAGCTGTGATGGCCTCCGAGAGGCCAGTCATTACAGGCATCGCACCGCCACCCGAGTGGCCTCATGAGGGTGCTCGACGACTATTTGCTAATGGTGATACCGACTACCATGGCCCAGTTCGTCTCCAGCCCAGCAGTGCAGCTACAAAGGTTAAGAAAGAAAAAGCGCCTCAGGCCCCTCTCCCACCCTCCGATAATGACGACTCCGACTCCGACTCCGACTCGGGTGATGATCGCCCAGCAGTACCTGCTGCTCCCAAGCTCCGAAAACCTACCATGCGAGTAGAACTACCACCGCCCCTGCCCTCGCGCCCATTCAAGGTTGTGGCAGCACCACGCTCACGCCCAGTCAAAATCATTCAAAAGCCGGAACCAACTGCAGCAGCGAGCGAGGTTATCTCAATTACTTCGACCGAGGATGTCGAAGAGCCTGATACCGAGTATGACGAAGCACGCGGGAAGAAGAGGAAACTGAAGGCTAAGGCTACGAACACGTCTCGTGCGTCAAAGAGGCAAGCATCATCCGAGGAGAAGACTGATACTTCAAAAGTAGGGAAGAAAGGGTCACGGGCTCAGATGAAACCACCCAAAGCACTTCCCTTACCATCAACCTCTCCGACGAAGGGTGGCCCGTTGTCCCCATTGACAGTGGGATCATCGAGTGTGGCGGGATCACCAGAGCCTGAAAGTGAGCACACTTTTTTCTCACTTGACTTCGTTTGACTCAAGGCTGATAGCTGTGGTTCCAGCGCGACCTAAAGATGAACCATATATTGAGCGGACTAAGGGTAAGCGATTTCACATTTTCTTGCTACATAACTAATGTCCATCTATCCTCCAGTCAAACCACGCCGAATCACCAAGGACTCCAAAGGTAAAATGAAGCGTGCTCACCGCATGGCATACAGCCAGTCAGACTGAATCTGAGGTCGACAAGGGCAAGAAGGTTGCTGAGAGTGTCATCTCCCCTACTTCGGTCAATGTCACGGCAGAATCTTTACAGGAAGGCTTGGCCGAGGTAACACACGATGCTAAGCCAGCGGACAAGCAGCAGGAACTCCCTCGCATCGCCAAACCCATTGAGGGTCTTCACGATGCAGTTCGTGACTCTCGTAACCCCCACGACCCTCCACATGACCTACACCAAGCTCATCACAAGCTCCCTGTACGTCATCATCTTCGTGAGGATAACCCTCCTCACCACCAACAGGAACGTCATCAGGAGGTCATCTCTGACCCTCGCGACGACCTTCACGAGGGGGGTCCTCTTCGCAATCCCCGCGAGCCTCGTCATGAGGTCCTCTATGATGTTCGAGATACTGCCCATCACGACCCACGTGATACCCTCCGTGACACTCGTCAACCTCTTCGTGCCCATTCTCGTGAGCCATGGTACATGCATGATGCCATGCGACGTCGTGAAGAGACTCCTACGATCGAGCGTGATGCTCACCTCTCTCGTGATGTCTTGTACCACCGTGACTCTCACAATCACCGCTACACTAGTCTGCAACCTCGCAACTATTATGGACCTACTGATCCTCGCATTGACAGTGAGTTCACCACACGGGATGGTTCCCCAGCCTTGGAGTCACACCGCGACACCCTTTATGCTCATGGTGAGCGTGAACAGTTCATACCCAAGCCGATACAGCCCAGTGCCTGGTCCAGGACTATGCTCGACGCAATGACCTTGACGAGCGTCGGGGATTTGGTGGAGGACCATACCGTGACAGTGGGTACCCTCAAGGCAGGGCTCGTAACCAGGATTCCAGATGGATGGACAACGTCCACAGTGTTGCATCTTCATCTTCGGACTATGCTGTGCCACGAGCATTTAGTCGTGATCACACTCTCCCTCCACCTCCTCCTTCATCATAATCGGCTTTTGATGCACCCGTGCTTTTGTCATTGGTTGGGTTGCTCTTTGGTTCTTCTTCTTGTGCTTACTTCGTCTGTTTATGCTGATAACTTGCTATGGTGGTTTGCTCATTCCTACACTCGTCCCGCTTTCGTACCCTATTTATGTAGCTACACATGCGGTCGTTACATTTTTCCTTGTCTTGATAATATCAGTATAGCGGCTCCAATGCCTGCTTTGGTTTGCTTCAGAACTTGTTCGAAATCGCTGCGAAACTGGAGCGTGATATGTTTTATTGGAAAGTGACATTTACAACATAAATACAACGACAAAAGCAAAAAAAACATATGAGAAGTAGCGGGTGGGGAAAAACATAAATGTGAGTGACGAAGATATGAAATAAAACATAAGGGAAAACATAAGTAGAGGAGCACAAGAGGCTCCAAGTTATGTTGACAAGTGGCGAGAGACCCCTGCCGACATAAATATGAAGATATAACATAAGGGAAAACATATGTGGAGGTCCGAGGAGCACACCTGAGAGGCTCCAAGTTATGTTGACGAGGGGCGAGAGACCCATGCTGACGTAGTGGAGGCTGTTAGGCACCTTCTGCAATAATCAGAGCTAACCAGTTAACCCTCCAATGAGGCCCATGAGGGTACACTGGTTACTCTTAAGGAATTGAGGGAGACCCTCCGGGGAGAGGGATGTCTCAGAGACATGTTGTGCCATACACGAAAACTGGGTCTGACAGACCGTGGGAAGCACTAAAAAGTGCTGCCAAGGGTGGAATTGCAGGTATTTGAAGAGAATAAACGGGGTCCGAATAGACGTGTTGACGAAGTTGGAAAAGTGTCTGTTTACATGTGTTGCTCCGGAGCGAGCGAGCAAAATTTGCGACATCTCGGATTTACGTCTGATTACAAGCTAGGTACGTTTAGAGTCGTGTTACACGCGCCGTCTCCCTCTGATTAGGGTCTGCCTAAAATCTCGTTTCCGCAGTGAATAGGCCATGCCCTTAACTGCAAGTTGAAAGGATGCATCGTGATATGTGACATGGGATGTTCCGCCCTGATCGAAAGGAAGGGCCTAAAAATCTGAGATCTTCCCTATAAGAGAGTCAAACATCCTGAGGGGTTTGAGATACGTGTCTCCTAGATACTGTCTGTGATATTGAGATCCGCTAATGTATTTTGGCGATGGATGCCACAGGTCTGGAGGTCCTTTCCACTCCAGGATCATCGTGAACCTGCGCGGCCACCAGAATTCAGAAATAGTAAAGAAAGTGAAGCGCGAGTTTGAACCCCTGAGCCGATGAAGCGTTTATGGTCAGTGTTCGAAAAAACAGGGTTGCGGCTGTGGGAATCCCTCGAGCGCTTTTGGTACGATCTCAGCATTAATATACTCCACGACACTCAGTACTACGACCTTGCCAAGAAATTGACGGGGGCAAGGGTTGGCCATAGATCATGATGGTCACAAGCCTTGAACTGGTTTATACTCGATTTATTGCAGTGTTGGGCGCTAGTAACTTGATCGATTATTACTTCCAAGTTCCCATCGCTTGCCATGCTACAAACATCAGGCAAGCCAGGCCGCCTCATTGTACATTGTACTGCCTTGAGATGACGCCCGCCAGTAACATACAAATAGCGAACAGGATGCATACGATACATCCCAAAGGTGACATCCGATAATGCGCTTACTACTAGTACTTCTTTGCGTCTTCCTTCACCTCTTTGGAGTAATCCAAGCTTCACCTACAACAAATACAACAAATACTACTACTAGCGACAATTTCAAAGCCCCATCATTCACGACCAGAACCATATGGACGATCGTCTCCAGCTCCGTTCTCACTTTATTTGCGTGTATATACAGTGCCATTCACGCCAATATTCCGAGTCCCAAGGACAGTCCTCATGGTATCATACGACGGCAACTTGGGGTCATGATAATGGCACTAATTGCTCCTGAACTGATCGTCACATGGGCTATGCGTCAATGGCTCAGTGCTCGGCATGTTACAAGACAGTTCAAGGACTCAGGGTATCCCAGCGTTCGTCCAGAGTCTGCCAGTGAAGGTGAGTTTGTCACTGCTTTTGGAAACACTGCATCTCACAACTCATGTCCTTAGAAAAGTATCCCTTTAAAGCACCTGAGCAACGTGGAAATCGCTTCCTTCACTTCTTTTGCCTCCTTTTTGTAGTGTTTGCTAAGGTGTATCCTCTGTGCCGGTGTTTCTTCGGTGTTTCCCTGGTGATCTTGGGAGGTGGGTCAAAAGGTCGATTAAGGCTTATTTCTCAGAGAAATCTGAAGGTAAGCCCGATTCGTGCTCACCTGAACGTTGGCTCATGTACATCCTTAGATTATACGTGGACTCAGACGCACAGCTTCTTTGTGCTGATGGGTGGTTTCATGCTTTACGTGGACGGGGAACCCTACCTTACACTACGTCCTGGTTATATTCT